AGCCGGAGGAAAAGGAGTCCCCTCCAGTTTGTGCATCGCTGGTGGGGAGTCAGCGGGCGAGGACCGACGTGGGATGGCGGCAGGAGGTCGTCTCTTCCACGTGGAAGGCGCCCATCGCCTGCTTCAAGTGTGGCCTGCCCGGCCACGTCTCCAAAGGATGCCGCGCCGAGCCGGGACAGCTCGTCGCACCTCCATCGTTCTCCACCCCGCCGACCTCCGCTCCTCCAAGCCCAAAGGCGAGTCATGGGGCATCACACACCCGGCCTACACAGTCACCTCAGGCATCTCCATCACAGACGCATGTTCGCGCATCTGTGATGGAGATGAGTATATCTTCTTTGGTTCTTTCGGTAAAGTCACGTAGAATGAGAATAAAATAATAAATTGATAAAATAAAATAACACAAATAACACAAATATTTTATCAATTTATTATTTTATTCTCATTCTACGTGACTTTACCGAAAGAACCAAAGAAGATGAATCATTGCAGTCACGAAAGCTTTAAATCGAGAGATGAGTATATTTTTAGGGTGTTGGATGGCCGCGGCATCCGGGTCAGTGGATGGCGTTGGCACATAGGGTCATAGCAGCGGCAGCGGGATCGTCAGCAATTGTAGGGACGGTGCATGGTGTAGAGGTCAGGGTGTTGATAGACACCGACGCATCCGCCACCCTGATTTTGGAACTAATTTACAGGTCGTTGCCGCAAAAATCGATTTGTTTGGGACTTGTAGGGAGTACTTGTGTCGCTGTTAATGGTGGGATTTTGGGCATTGTGGGTCAGATGATTGCAACGGTTCAGATCAGAGATATTGAGATGACAGGACCAATGCTAGTCTCAAAGTCACTGGCTGTACCTTGTCTATTGGCGACCGACTTTTTGAAGAAGATGCCCCTTAGAACACTTGTGGACCAGGGTTGTGTTGAATTGCCGTCGGGGCATCGGTTGGCGTTCTTGTCGGACCCGACTCGATTGAGTGCGGCGCATGTTACAGTTCAGGCCCTCGTGAGGGAGACTGTTCAAGTTCCCCCGGGAGCACATATGCTTGTGCCGTTTCGACTGCGAAAGCAAGTTACGGCGGGGGGGGGGGGGGGAGTTCTCCTGACCCACTTGAACAGGGCAGTTAAGGGTCTCATGCTTGTAGGAGCCCAGACGATCGTGATGAAGGGGGATCAGGAACCTTTCCTCCAGGTTTTAAATGCAGGATTTCGTAGCGCGGTTGTGCAGGCAGGTACGGTTTTGGCTCGTGCGACGGCTGCGTGTTGTGAAGAGGTTTCAGTGGAGCACTGAGTGGTGACAGACGAGTCGCGGATTAATGTGTTGTGCGCTGAGAACCCGGATTTGACAAGTGAGCAGAGGGGCGAGTTATGAGCCTTGCTCCGGGAGTTCTCTGACGTTTTTAGAAAAAGTAGATTTTATATGGGACACACGTCTTTGATGCATCATCATATTGATACGGGTAATACCGCTCCCATCCGACAAAATTCGTTTCGGTTCAGCCCAAAAGAAAAGGACCTTGTGCGTCAGGCGGTCGACGAGATGTTGGCCGCCGACATTATTTCTCCGTCCACCAGTCCGTGGGGGGCGCCCATCGTTCTGGTTAAGAAGATGGACGGGAGTATGACATTTTGCACGGATTTTAGAAACTTGAACAAGGTCTCCATGGCGGATGCTTACCCGCTCCCATGGAAGGACGATTCATTGGATGCCTTGTCGGGTGCGCGATTCTTTTCCACCTTGGATTTTCTGTCGGGGTTTTGGCACTTGCCCTTGGATGAACGCTCAAAGCCCAAAACAGCGTAGCCTGGAACCGTCGGGAATATTCTGGACGTAGGGCGCGGCCGAGGGTGGAGCCAGGCCGCTCCGAGAGAGATAAAAGGGAAGCCCCAATCACTGATCCGGGCTGTCTGCAGGTGACGTGGAAGCCAAGTGCTGCGTCTCCGTCTTCGACATCGTGGGTCAGGCAGCACGTTGGCTGCTCTGACCCGACTATAGTTATCCCGTATGCGAGAGAGAGATAGGTGTATTGTGGTCCTATGCGTAACAAGAGTGAGAATAGGTGTATTGTGGTCCTATGTGTGACGAGAGTGAGAGATAGGTGTATTGTGGTCCTATGTATAACAAGAGTGAGAATAGGTGTATTTAGTCCCGTGTGTAACAGTGTTGCGTAAAGTGTAGAATAAATGTTGTTGCCTCCTAAATAGTGTCTCTGAATGACTCACTGCAGCACGTGTATGAGAGAAGGGGAGAGAGAAGGGAGAGGACAGCGAGAGAGAAAGGGGGGGGGGGGAGAGTACACACCGCGCACGAACTGCTGACGAATCTGACCCCTACCCATAATCTTTTCCATAACTCCCACCACACTTCCCACACCACCAATTACTTCACTCACCAAATAGCACCCATACAGGTTTTTGGAGCAAGTGCTGTTAGCGAGCACCTATGCGGGCCAGCACGGTGGTGCGATGTTTACGCGCCGTGCCAGCTGCTCATTTGAGTCGTCCTAGTGGAAAGCCCAGGACCGGTTCATATATTCGCCACTGTTATTGGTCGTGAGCGGGAATCTAATTCGAGTGGCCGGGTTTGGAACGCAGCGCCCTAAGCACTGCGCCACCGCTCACTCACCAAATCGCACTCACTACACACCCTATGCTCACCACGCTGTCATCACACTGACCACGCTCACACGGTCACACCACATGCACACACTACACCTACCACTCACCACACTCACCACGCTCACAGCACACATACAGTGCCACGCTTACATCACACTCACCACACATACCACACTCCCCACGCATATTTACCCTGACCACACCACACATACTAAACTCACACCACACATCCACACATACCACGCTCACCACACTCACCACACCACACACACCACACTCACACCACACATAACTACGCTCACCACACTCACCACACGACACACACCACACTCACACCACACATAACTACGCTCACCGCACTCACCACACCACACACACCACACTCACACCACACATAACTACGCTCACCACACGACACTCACCACACTCACACCACACATAACTACGCTCACCACACTCACCACACGACACACACCACACTCACACCACACATAACTACGCTCACCACACTCACCACACGACACATACCACACTCACACCACACATAACTACGCTCACCACACTCACCACACGACACACACCACACTCACACCACACATAACTACGCACACCACACTCACCACACCACACACACCACACTCACACCACACATAACTACGCTCACCACACTCACCACACCACACACACCACACTCACACCACACATAACTACGCTCACCACACTCACCACACCACACACACCACACTCACACCACACATAACTACGCTCACCACACTCACCACACCACACACACCACACTCACACCACACATAACCACGCTCACCACACTCACCACACCACACACACCACACTCACACCACACATAACCACGCTCACCGCACTCACCACACCACACACACCACACTCACACCACACATAACCACGCTCACCGCACTCACCACACCACACACACCACACTTACACCACACATAACCACGCTCACCGCACTCACCACACCACACACACCACACTCACACCACACATAACCACGCTCACCACACTCACCACACCACACACACCACACTCACACCACACATAACCACGCTCACCACACTCACACCACACACACCACACTCACCACACCACACACACCACACACACCACACATAACCACGCTCACCACACACACCACACTCACCACACCACACACACCACACTCACACCACACACAACCACGCTCACCACACACACCACACTCACCACACCACACACACCACACTCACACCACACATAACCACGCTCACCACACACACCACACTCACCACACCACACACACCACACTCACACCACACATAACCACGCTCACCACACTCACCACACCACACACACCACACTCACACCACACATAACCACGCTCACCACACTCACACCACACACACCACACTCACCACACCACACACACCACACACACCACACATAACCACGCTCACCACACACACCACACTCACCACACCACACACACCACACTCACACCACACACAACCACGCTCACCACACACACCACACTCACCACACCACACACACCACACTCACACCACACATAACCACGCTCACCACACACACCACACTCACCACACCACACACACCACACTCACACCACACATAACCACGCTCACCACACTCACCACACCACACACACCACACTCACACCACACATAACCACGCTCACCACACTCACACCACACACACCACACTCACCACACCACACACACCACACATAACCACGCTCACCACACACACCACACTCACCACACCACACACACCACACTCACACCACACACACCACACTCACCACACCACACTCACCACACTCACCACACCACACACACCACACCACACTCACCACACCACACACACCACACTCACACCACACACCACACCACACTCACCACACTCACCACACCACACTCACCACACCACACACACCACACTCACACCACACACCACACCACACACACCACACTCACCACACCACACACACCACACCACACCACACACACCACACTCACCACACCACACACAACCACCCTCACCACACCACACACACCACACCACACACACCACACTCACCACACATAACCACACTCACACCACCCTCACCGCACTCACCACACCACACTCACCACACCACTCACACCACACACCACACCACACACACCACACTCACCACACCACACACACCACACACACCACACACACCACACTCACCACACCACACACACCACACCACACTCACCACACCACACATACCACACACACCACACTCACCACACCACACACACCACACTCACACCACACTCACCACACCACACACACCACACTCACACCACACACACCACACTCACCACACCACCCTCACCGCACTCACCACGCGCTGCCCATGCTGTGAGCAGTAACCGCGTTTTATTTTCCGATCAAGATGAACAAGTCACGTGGGGGGGGGGGGGGGGTGCACGGGGTTCAAGGCCACACATGGCCAGTTGCGGTTTTAAGTTCGGACAAGGTGCGGGGGGCAGTATCCACCCCCTCCACCCTCCCGCGTGCCCCCCATTCACCGGGTGAGGTCACGGAAGAGACAACAGATTACACGACCGCCACCCCCCCCCCCCTTCCTATCCCGTCCACGCGGGGCCCCTAAGGGCCGGGGACTGGTGGGGGGCCTGGTTTGGGTGCCCCCCCCCCCCCCTCGGCCTCTTGGTGTAGAATCAACGCTGCCTCCCCTGAGCACACGGTGTACGTGACACACGCACCCCGGGCACGCGACCCGCTGCACCCACACGCGCTGTGTTCACGATTCACGCGTGCCCACGAGCCCCCTTCAGCCCCCTCGGACCACCTTGGCCTCTCAGCAGACGTTCGTCTTGACCCTCCCTAAGTCTCCCCCGGGACCCCGTAGGAGATCTCGTGGCGATCCCCACGCGGTTACTCACTGGACCTCCTTGGTCCTCTGGGTCCAGTCAGCAGGGGTTGTCCCCCTCACCGTCGGGGTCTTCTGTGTCTCCTCCGAGGACCCCCCCCAACCCACCGCCGGGCCCCTCCGGTCCCTTTGGGTCTCTGGGCTCCCATTAGGATGGCACCACCCGAAGACGGCGTGGTATTGCTGTACCCCCCCCCCCCCAGCCCCGGTCCCTTTGCAAGGCTCTCTGGAGCCCCTCCGGGTCCCCTCGGGCCCGTGGCCTGGGGCCCCTTTGGTAGAGATGCGTCCCGATCCTCGGGGTGGAGTTGAGTGGCAGGGCGGGGAGAGGGCCACCCCCTCCTAAGACAGGGTGTCGCGGTCGCCCTCGGGCCCCGGGCCGGCCTCGATGCGCGCCGCGAGCACGCAGGCGAGCGCGATGCCGATGATCTGCGTGAAGGCGAGGCCCAGGGCGCCGCACGCGATGTAGAAGAGGTTGTCGCTCACGAGGTCGACGAGTTTGGTGAAGCAGCCGTCGGGGAAGATGCCCTCGCCCGCGGGGCCCACGGGGTCGCTGCGGCAGCCGCGGCGGCGAACGCAGCAGCTCTCGGGCACCGAGCCGTTGTTGAGGCGGCCCCGGGACCAGGGCGCCGGCAGCCAGTCCTGGAAGCCGTCCACCCCGCAGCAGTCCAGGGCCCTCTGCAGGCCGTCCATGGCCGCACTCTTGGCGTCGTCGTCCCCGTAGAGCCGCAGGGCGCGGGCGAGGCCGTGGCGGAAGCCCTCGGCGATGTCGCGGCGGTAGAAGAGGCCCGAGAGGCCCGCGGCGAGGCCGGCCACGAGCACGGCGACCTGGAAGAGGCCGTAGACCCGCAGCAGGCGGGGGTTGCCGGTGGCCGCGCTGAAGCAGCCGAGGAAGCCCCAGGCGGTGACGGCGGCCCCGGCCGCGAGCAGCACGTAGGGCGCGCTGCTGTAGTCGCCCGTGGTGAGCTCCTCCAGGTAGATGGACAGGGCCAGGCGGGCCCACAGGCCCAGCGAGAGCGTGGCCAGGCCGGACAGCCAGAAGAGCAGGCTGAAGCACACGAGCGACGCCTTCACCACGTCCATGACGAAGATGATGATGATGGTGGCGGTGGTGGTGGGAAGGGGGGAGTTGACGAGGTTGATGACGAGAGGTGAGGGCCTTGTTGGGGAATCTAAGGGAGATGATTCTTTGAGAAGTGAGGGAGGTGAGGGGTGGATGAAGGGAGGTGGAGGGGAGATGATGGGAATGAGAGAGGTGAGGGAAGATGAGGGGAATTAGGGGAGGGAGGGGAGAAATTAGGGAGGTGAGGGGTCGGTGAGGGGAGACGCCAGAGAAGGTGAGGTGTAAATGAGGGAGGTGAGAAGTGAGGAAAATATGAGAGAAATGGGAGGATGATAAGGAGGTGAGAGGTGAGGGGAGACGAGGAGATTGAGGGGACTTGAGGAAAATACGAGGGAGCCGAGACGTGTGAGAGCCAACGAGAGACACGTGAGAGAGGCGATGAGAGGGGAGATGAGAGGGGAGATGAGAGGGGAGATGAGAGGGACGTGAGAGGGGAGATGAGAGGGAGGTGAGAGGGGAGATGAGAGGGACGTGAGAGGGGAGGTGAGAGGGACGTGAGAGGGGAGGTGAGAGGGGAGATGAGAGGGAGATGAGAGGGACGTGAGAGGGAAGATGAGAGGGGAGATGAGAGGGGAGGTGAGAGGGGAGATGAGAGGGGAGGTGAGAGGGACGTGAGAGGGGAGGTGAGAGAGGATATGAGAGGGAGATGAGAGGGACGTGAGAGGGGAGATGAGAGGGAGGTGAGAGGGGAGATGAGAGGGAGATGAGAGGGAGGTGAGAGGGAGATGAGAGGGGAGATGAGAGGGGAGATGAGAGGGAGGAGAGAGGGGAGATGAGAGGGAGGTGAGAGAGGAGATGAGAGGGGAGATGAGGGAGGTGAGAGAGGAGATGAGAGGGGAGGTGAGAGGGAGATGAGAGGGAGGAGAGAGGGGAGATGAGAGGGAGGTGAGAGAGGAGATGAGAGGGGAGATGAGGGAGGTGAGAGGGAGATGAGAGGGGAGATGAGAGGGAGGTGAGAGGGGAGATGAGAGGGGAGATGAGAGGGAGGTGAGACGGGAGATGAGAGGGAGGTGAGAGGGAGGTGAGAGGGAGATGAGAGGGGAGATGAGAGGGAGGTGAGACGGGAGATGAGAGGGGAGATGAGAGGGGAGATGAGACGAGAAGCGAGGGACCGACGAACGGGGTGGTGAGGTTATGAGGGGGAAAGGTGAAGGAGACGAGGAGAGGGAGACGAGAGGAATGATGAGGAAGGTAAAGAGGTACGTGAGGTGAGGGGAGACGAGGCGTTTCGGGTTCGAGATGTGGGAGCCGCGGGGTGAGACGTAAGCAGTGCACGGGGAAGCGCAGGGAGAGACAAAGGTGGAAGGAGACGCAGTAGACGTGGGGAAGAGAATCGGGGACGTGGTGGTACAAGACCTGAGTGGACGAGGGGAGACGTGATGGAGACGCAGGGAGACGCGGGGACACTTGAGTGGATACGAGGGGAGAAGAGGAGGGAGACGCGGTGGGGGTTGAAGCGGCGTTAGCAGGGACTCCCTGCCTCCCGGCCGACTCCGGCCCCGCACATCGCGGCCGCTGCTCCTCGGGCTCCGGGCGTCGCTCCCGGGGTTCTGCCTGCAGGGATGGCGGCGACGACGAGGAGGACGGGAGGTGGAGGAGGAGGAGGATAGCAAAGGGGGTAGGGGGGGGCAGGAGGAGGGAGACGCCGAGCCGCCCTGATCCCCCCACCGGCTCCGTGATTTACGCGCTGCGCGGAGCGTAAATCGTCAGCCTCCCTCCTCCCGGCCGCTCCCCGGGGTCCATCTCAAGGGAGACGGAGCGGATCGGAGCGATGCAAGGCGGACAGATGGAGGCATGAGCGGCTCCACGTGGATGAGGGGTTGGGGGGGGGCTGTGCCCCCCAAACCCAGGCAGACTTCAGGAAGATTTAGGGGCTAACCATAGAACCCCCCCCCCCCCGCACTCCAATTAATAAAATAAGCAAGCAGATGACACGATGTCTCCTCCTTCCTGTATTTGTCTCTCCGAATAGAACAAATAACGGCATGTATTGTTTTACTCATCCCGTCAGCTACGCGGCCTCCTGAGCGGGAGACGAGGAATTGCAGAGAGAGAGAAAGAGGCATTGCTAACGTGTTGGTAAGTTTGACACGTAGTCGTAATTGTAGTAGTCTGGCTTTCGCGAACAATATCATCCATAATAGAGGGGTTTTTTTTTGGGTTAGATCGCGTAAAATATATAAATGTGTCGTTAAACCCGCCACCAGCCGACACAGCCAATTGGTAAGGGTTGTGTCACGTAAACAGAACGTGCCAATTGGAGAGCAAAGCCACAACATTTACAATTTACTCAGACTGTAAATGTTGTGGCTTGGCTCTCTAACACACCGGCGTGCTGTACTGGTGACGAATTGCCACGTTCCGTTTACGTGACACAACCCTTACTAATTGGCTGTGTCGGGTGGTGGCGGGTTTAATGACACATTTGGGGCCGTCCATAAATGACGTCACGCACCTGGGGGGAGGGGGGTCAGACATTTGTGACGATGTGTGACGAAGGGGGGGGGGGTTGAGAAATGTGACGTCACATCAAAATGCGCAACTTTAAATAAATATAGACAACACGTTCTACTTTTTAATAAATGTTTTCTCCTACAACATCAGAGTGCAGCGCCACATTAAATACGCACTACAATGACAATAGTTTAAAGCAATTTGAAGCATATTTTATATTTTTTTTGGGGGGGGGGGGCAGAGCTCTGTGAAAAATCGTCCAAAATCGCGTGACGTCATTTATGGACGGCCCCTTTCTATATTTACACGATCTAACCAAAAAAAAACTATTATGGATGACGCGTTGGTGTTGACGGAGAATGAAACTTGGCAGAGATTGCCACCTCACTCCCACTCGTCTCCAGTCAACGATGCTCATCCCCGCTACGACTTCAATCGGAATGAATAGAGCGGTGATCTGCACTCATTTTTAGAGTGGGGGGGGGGGGGGATGGCACTTTCGCCGATAAGATATCAGTGTGAGGGCCGACACACATTTGCAACCATTGGGGTTTGACAGCACGATGATGATGGGGGAGGGGGGGGTGTTCATTTCGATATTGGCCGGGGCCGCACTAAAGGCCACCAGGTGCCTTCAGTGGCCCGCGGGCCTTGCAATGAAGAACACGGATAGAGGGATGTAAATGAGACTTGGATTGGAATCTTGTGTTTCGTTAAGAGCTTTATTGGGGACCGTAGATCGGCGTCGGTGCAGTTGAACAACAAGTTAAACATGGGAGTGACATCCCTCAACCTCGTCGTGAGTGCCGCGCGCTTAACGCGGTTGACGAGGTGACGAGGTGAAGAGGTGAGGCGTTGCCCACGTGACTCAGCGGCAGAGCGAGCGGCACGCGATTGGGAGATTGCTAGTTTCACATCCTGAATTGAGGGGTGGTTGACTGCGTCAATCGTCGTCGTCATCATCATCCTATTCCTCCAGGGTCGATAAAAAAATGAGCACCGCTTTGCGTGAAAGTCCACAGTGGTTGTCCTATGGAGGAGATACTCGTTCGCTCCTGCCATAGGAATGTGGAATTATCCACCTGATCCAATATGCACATTTCAACACGGGGGAAACAAAGGCGGCCCGGCGTGGCGTTGGCCACACCAACAACCCTCTAACAGCACTTGGCCCCCAGCAGTTTGTTAAAGGGATGTTTGTGCGTTCTATTCCATTCTTGCGAATGACGGCAGCAGCAATATGTTTATTCAGGAGCTCGATGGCAATGGCGAGGTCTGATGGGCACAACGAGAGCAGTTCTGGAGAGAGTTGGTGTGGGGTTTTGCTCTTCCTCCCCCCTCCTCCTGTTGCAACTGCGCAGCGCACAGTGGTTAAGTAAGTTGTCCAGAGCTTGTGTTGCATGTCCACAATGGCACAGCGGCTTATTTTATGTACCTCTATATATGTATCTCTATGAGCCTCCGGGTTTACTATGCGGTCCATAGTTCGGGTTGCGTGGCCACAATCGCGCCACTGTGGTTGTCTCCAACTTTCCATTCATGAAGGAGATGTGGTCCAGCATCGGCCTGGTGATGATCAACTAAAATTAAACATTAATAAGGTAAGGCCCAATGCGCTACATAGCTATTTTTAAGAACCGACCTGGCCTCAAATGATAACGAAGTGGCTGATAATGTGGAGATTCATAGCAGCCAAATACTGTTGAACCCATGTTGATTTTAAATGTGGAGGGTAAAATCCACGCGGCCACAGAGAGAGACACGCAAACTCCAAATATACAGGCATCGTCAGGGTCGGGCTGGAACCCACGACATCCTGTATACCAGGCGAGATAGTTAACATCTCCTAGCCACCGCGGCGCCCCTGGTGCCGCTGATAGTTTCACCACCACCAGTGTCTTCGAGGAGGAAGAGGAGGAATGTCAAAGCCAGGAGGTGTGCGATGTTTGGGTCTCAAATGACGAGCTTATGTTCGGACGTCCAATTGGGCAATTGAATCTACGCGTGCTAAACGTTGAATTATTTTGAACCGTATCGCATGATAATGCTATGCATTACAGAGCTGTGCGTGATAGAACTAGGAGCCGCATCTATACACATCTGGGCCAGGTCACCAGCATCGATTTAAAGCGACGACGCCTGACTCTGCTGCTGCTGCTGATGAGACGCTGAATGTAGAAACCGCGTCTCGAGCCGTTGCTCGTTTTGAACCAACAATGAACGCTGCTGTGAATGCTGCACTCCTGAGAGCAGTGGTTCTTAAACCTGGGGGGGCACGCACCTACCTGGGGGTGCGAGATGCCCTTTCTGGGGATGCGAGACATGGCCAGATTGTTTTATAAAGCAAATAATGTGAACGCAAATTAAGCACGGGCACGTGAGTACAACTACTTTGTTTCACCAAACCTCTGTAGTTGTTAACATTATAGATATTAAAACAAATTATTTTACCATTGAGAACTAAGGGCTGCAGTAAAGGTGAAGAACCACTGCCTGAGGAGCAAGCCCCGTGCGGCTGACGGTAAAAGGATCAAATCTTCTGCATTGTGCTTCACGGAAACATGGCTGTGTGATTTGATTCCGGACACTTCGCTACAACTAGCAGGATTCCATCTTGTAAGATCGGATCGTGACATAGCACTCTCCGGCAAGACGAAAGGCGGTGGTATTTGTTTTTACATTAACAGTGGCTGGTGTGTAGATGTCACAGTGATTCTGCAACATTGTTCTCCACTCCTTGAATCAATTTTTATAACCTGTAAACCGTTTTACTCGCCTCGCGAGTTCGCGTCGCTCATTTTGGTCGGAGTTTATTTGCCGCCTTGTCCTCAGGTTAAAGAGGCCCAACGCATGCTCGCCGATCAGATTCTGAGTGTGGAGCGAGCAAATCCAGATTCGTTGGTTATCGTACTTGGCGACTTTAACAAAGGTAATCTCAGCCACGAACTCCCCAAATACATACAATTCATTAAATGCCCAACCAGAGAAGGGAACACTCTGGATCACTGTTACACTACAGTCAGTAGAGCCTACCACGCCGTCCCCCGAGCAGCACTAGGACACTCTGACCATGCCATGGTCCACCTGATTCCTGCATACAGGCAGAAACTAAAACTCTGTAAACCTGCTGTGAGGACATCTAAACAGTGGACCAGTGAGGCTGTGGAAGATTTGCGGGCGTGCTTAGACTGTACTGACTGGGATATGTTCACGACTGCTACCAATAGTCTGGATGAACTCACAGAGGCTGTGACGTCCTACATCAGCTTCTGTGAGGACTGCTGTATCCCAACACGTACCAGGGTGAACTTTAACAACAATAAGCCCTGGTTCTCAGCAAAGCTCAGAAGATTGAGGTTGGAGAAGGAGGAAGCGTTTAGGAGTGGAGATAGAGACAGATTCAAGGAGTCGAAGAACAGGTTTAGCAAAGCGGTGAGAGAGGCTAAACGACTGTACTCAGAGAGACTAAAACACCAGTTCTCTACAAACGACGCTGCTTCTGTCTGGAGAGGGCTCAGGCAGATCACCAACTACAAACCCAGAGCCCCCCACACCACTAACGACTCCCGCCTAGCCAACGACCTGAACGAGTTCTACTGTAGATTTGAAAGACAATTGGACTGTCCTGAACCACCCCTTCCAACCCAAGAGGCCCCATCCCCCACCAATACTACAGAGACGACTATCTCCTTTCAGGAGGGAGAAGTTAATAGACTTTTCAAGAGGCAGAATCCACGCAAAGCAGCCGGGCCGGACTCTGTCTCTCCAGCCACCCTCAGGCACTGCGCTGACCAGCTGTCTCCGGTGTTCACCAACATCTTTAACACCTCCCTGGAGACATGCCATGTACCAGCCTGTCTCAAGTCCTCCACCATCATCCCTGTGCCCAAAAAGCTAAGGCCAACAGGACTAAATGATTACAGACCGGTCGCCCTTACATCTGTGGTAATGAAGTCTTTTGAGCGCCTGGTCCTGGCACACCTCAAAGCCATCACAGACCCTCTCCTGGACCCCCTTCAGTTTGCCTACAGAGCCAACAGGTCTGTGGACGATGCAGTTAACATGGCCCTCCACTTCACCCTACAGCATCTGGACGCCCCAGCATCCTACGCCAGGATCCTGTTTGTGGACTTCAGCTCTGCCTTCAACACCATCATCCCTGCCCTGCTTCAGGACAAGCTCTTCCAGCTGAACGTGCCATACACCACCTGTAAATGGATCACGGACTTCCTGTCTGACAGGAAGCAGTGCGTTAAGCTGGGAACACAAGTCTCTGGCTCCAGGTCCATCAGCACCGGAACTCCTCAGGGCTGCGTCCTTTCCCCTCTGCTCTTCTCCCTGTATACCAACAGCTGCACCTCCAATCATCTGTCCGTCAAACTATTGAAGTTTGCGGATGACACCACCCTCATTGGGCTGATCTCTGGTGGGGATGAGTCTGACTATAGGTGGGAAGCTGACAATCTGGTGACCTGGTGTAGCCAGAACAACTTAGAGCTAAATGCTCTAAAGACAGTTGAGATGGTTGTGGACTTCAGGAAGAATACAGCACCACTCACCCCCATCACCCTGTTAGACTCCCCAGTAAAAATTGTAGAGTCCTTCCGCTTCCTGGGCACTATTCTCTCCCGGGACCTCAAGTGGGAATTGAACATCAGCTCCCTCACCAAGAAAGCTCAACAGAGGATGTACTTTCTACGGCAGCTGAAGAAATTCAACCTGCCAAAGACAATGATGGTGCAATTCTATACAGCGATCATTGAATCCATCCTCACCTCCTCCATAACCGTCTGGTACGCTGCTGCCACTGCCAAGGACAAGAGCAGACTGCAGCGTATCATCCACACTGCTGAGAAGGTAATTGCCTGCAATCTACCGACCCTCGAGGACCTGCACACGACAAGGTCTATGAGGCGAGCGAGGAAGATTATGGCCGATTTCTCCCACCCTGGACACTCTCTGTTTCAGCTACTCCCCTCCGGCAGAAGGCTTCGGTCCATCAGGACCAAAACCTCACGCCATAAAAACAGTTTCTTCCCATCTGCTGCTGGCCTGTTAAACAAGGCCAAGGGCTAACACTGTTTTTAACATTTGATCTACATAACGACACGTTGCTGATATTAACTATGTTTCCCTATTTGTATTTTAAATTATATCTTAAAGCTATTTTATATTCGATATTTATTTAATTTTATATACTTCAGCCCCTTAGTGTTAGACTTTTAACCCTTATTATAGTAAGACTTGTTTAAAACTTATTTAAGATTTTAGATTCCTATATGTTGAATGTATGCACCATCCTGCCAAAGTAAATTCCGTGTCGGTGTGAACTTACATGGCGAATAAAACCCTTTCTGATTCTGATTCTGAAATCACCTCCTGGAGGTTGGGGGGGATGGAGGCGGGGGGTGGGGGCGGGGGGGGGATGGAGGCAGGGGGGGGATGGAGGCAGGGGGGGTGGAGGCGGGGGGGGTGGAGGCGGGGGGGATGGAGGCGGGGGTGGGGGGGGATGGAGGAGGGGGAGGATGGAGGAGGGGGGACTGGAGGCGGGGGGGGATGGAGGCGGGGGGGGACGGAGGCGGGGGGGGGACGGAGGCGGGGGGGGGGACGGAGGCGGGGGGGTGGAGGCGGGGGGGTGGAGGCGGGGGGGATGCAGGCGGGGGGGTGGAGGCGGGGTGGGAATAGAGGCGGGGGGGGGGAAGCGGGGGGATGGAGGCGGGGGGGTGGCGGCGAGGAGCCCCACAGCCCCCACAGCCCCCACCCCACCAACTCGTGGGGCCCGTGTGACGTCACTCTGCGCGTGCGCAGTGAGGGCGATAAAGTGAGGCCCAGTGTGGGCTCGCTCCCCTTCGGCGCTGTGAAGACGGCGAGGAGGAGGAGGAGGAGGTGACCGGGGTACCCCCCCGACCCCCCTCATCATCATCCCCATGGTCCCCCTCATCATCATTATCCCCCTCGTCATCCCTCTCGACCCTCTTTATCTCTCGCTGTCGCGGTTCGCGCTGACATTCGACGCGGCGGCGGCGGTGGGTCGACTCTGGGCAGACTGGGCCCTGCCGCAGGAACGTGGAATTCGCCGCTGCTCCAGCTCTGCGGAGCCGTGAGCACGAGTCGTGTGCCCTCGCAATGGTCGCTTGAGTAGGAACTTTGCCCTTTAGGCTGGGGCACAGGGTGAGGGTTATGCGTGGTGAGGGCCCCGGCGTTAAAAGTTGGTTTGGTTCACCAGGTGAGGACGACTCGAGAGACGCAGGTTGCAGGGGTGAGTGGTCACGTAAACTAAAACTATTAAAAACATTTTATTTGTATTTAACAGTTAAAGCCCACTGTGCTCTAGAGCTCGTTTGCAGAAGCGACTTGGCCGCAAATGATAACTGGGCTAAGTGGCTTATCATGTGGACATTTATAATATCCATTTATTATTTGTAAGGCGCTTTTCCACTAACGTCTCGAGACGCGTGATGTTGGTGCTAAATGTGGAGGGGCGAATCCGGAGGACCACCTGAATGAAGAGAGACGCGCGAACGCCAGACACAGAGCAGGCGTCAGCTTCGGGATCGAATCCACGACCCCCCGCATACCTGGCGAGGAAGTTAACATCTCTCCGGCGCGGCGCACGTTCTGATGGGCGAGGGCTAGGGGGTCACGTCTGTCAGCTCAACTCCGTGCAGAACCTCTCACCGATCCCTTTCAGCACTCACCTCGCTCTTCCCTCAATTCTCTATGCTACGGCTACCCCCTCGCCTGTCACACCCCTCACCTCTCACCCCTGCACCTCACCCGTCAACCCTCCTCGAACACCTTACATCTGTATCTCGCACAGGTTCTAAACCCTCACACCTTCCCAGTCCACCCCTCACTTCATTCGCCCCCTACTTCTCTCACCTACCACCCCGCTCACCCATAACCCTCACCCATCTCTCACCGCTACTCTCACCTCTACACCCAGGCACAGGTTGGCAACCCTCTCACCAGTCGCGGCTCACCCCTCCTCCACGTCGTCGCCCGTGTTTCTGTTTGGCTGTGGGGGCCAGGTGGAGGTCAGGAGGGGTCACGCGTCCGTGAGAGCAGCTGCCCCCGCAGCATGGAGAGCAACAGCACGGAGAGCGATGTGGAGCCGATGAGTGGCGCCTTCAACAAGGTCACTCGCCGCGACTCGCCGTCACTCAGGAACTCGCGTGCACACTACAGATTCTCTCACACACATACACCACAAACAATCAAATCCATATACTTGTACAACAACAACTGCCATTCGTCACTAAGCGGCGGTGACCTCACCACGGTGCCTGTGTCAGGCCAGGTGCACTTTGAGGCCACGTGAAGTGTCGAAGGCTCGCTGACAGGAGGTCACGGGACAGATGCAGCAGGTGCCATGGGTTGATTGACTGAGATGACTGGCAGATGCATCAGCTGTGCCCCCGACTGTGCTAAAATGTACACCACTTACACCACACACCACTGTCACCCTTAACCTCTGTCATCACACTATTCCAGCGCTCTCTCTCCCAGCACTCTTACCCACTCAGTCACCCACCTAGATCACCAACTCACCCCCAGCACTTTCTCCTGTGTGTTCGTTCTCGCTGGCACAGGATGGTGCTGGGCCAGGTGACGCCAATCGACGGCGAGGAGATGGGGTGGGAGACCACGAGGTTCGGGGGTCCCGGCCTAGCGGGGTGGGTGGCGGGGCAGGGGGTGGCAGGGCCCCACCCAATGGAGGGGTTGCTCCGGTGGGGGGGCGGACCCCCCTTGAGACGGAGCCGGCTGTATACTGCGTGTGCCGCAAGCCAGACACGAACCGCTTCATGATGTACGTGCCGGAATCACCCACTCGCACACCCACTCATCCATTTAGCTCCTCAGTCGCTCATTCACCCACTCACGACACCATTCACCCACCCACGAAAAAAAAATAACTGCCATTCGCAACTAAGTGGAAGTGACATCACCACCGCGCTTGTGCCAGACCAGGTGCACTTTGAGGCCACCCGCTCACCCATCCACCCACTCGCCCACACACTTGACACACGTGTTTGGTGTTGTGAGAAGTGCTACTGTGGTGGACTATCATATCCCTGTACATTTCAACCACTGCGGAAAACACTATTCACCCAACCCATAGCTGAGGCAAAGCGCGTTCCTGCTCACATGAGCATGAAGGCGGTGCTCATCTTCCATTTACAGCCCTGAGCCAGTGGTGGAAATTCCTAATACCTCTGTGTCACCCGAATCTAGAGTTTTCAAGTTGGCGGTGACCGATGGTGCAGCATCTGCGTGGCGTCGGGCAGTAGCTAAATGTCTCTCGCTTGCAGCTTGCGATGCGATGTAACCGAGTATGTTGCGCGAGGTGCGCCGTTTTCTGCCAAGCCGCGGAGATCGCGTTGTGCGCGGCGGATAATGAGTCGGGCCTGCGCCGCTGTGGCACGCTGCACAGAGGCTGTGACAAGTGCAATGAGTGGTTCCACGGCGACTGCATCGACATCACGCAGAAGATCGCCAAGGCCATCAAGCAGTGGTACTGCGACATGTGCCGCGGTACGTGGGCCCCATCCCCCCCCCCCACCCCCCGTCACACTTACCCCCATCGTCAAGCGCACACGGGCTGCGTAGCTGACTTGCTTTTTTCCCTTTTGTTGCTGCTGCTGCTGCTTCTGCTGCAGCCAAGGACCCGTCGCTTGCCATCCGCTACCGCCAGAAGAAGATCAAGGACAAGAGCCGGGATGCAGCGCGTGACTATTCGGCCGAATACGACGGCAACTGCAGCTCGGAGAGACGGAAGGTACGGGTGGGGGTAGGCACGGTTCACGGGAGGCCTGTGCAGCAGCTCAGATTTATTTCATTGTTATTCTTTTTTCTTGTTTACCCAGGAAAGACTCGCATTATTTTGTAACAGGAGGGATCCTGACAAGTTTTCCCTAGAATGGGGGCGATGTTGTTGCTGCCGTGTGTGATACCATTTGAGTAATTCTTTAGCGAAATTTTCAGCATTGGGATGTTTTGGCCGATACCAGTTACATTGTATATTTGTTTTTAGTGAGGGGAGGAAACTCGAGCAGAACAGAGGGAGAACATATAAAGCCCACAAACTCATACAGTTGCTTGCTCACGCTCTCATTTACTCACTCTCACCCACTCACCACACCGCAGGTCACAGCACTTCTCTTTCTGCTTCTTCCCTCATACTGTTGCACTGTGGAATTTCCTCCCATCATCGTCGTATCTTTGCACAGGCTCTTACAATCATAACCTTATTTCATTCAAGAAACGTGTCGCACTCTTATTTATCTCTTACAACTTTGATGGTGCTGTTTGCTGCACGCGCTCAGCTTTTTGGGCCTTTGCTCCCGTGCTCGGCAACTTCTAAGAAACTCTGCTGTTGACTCTGCTCGTGCTCCTGCTGTTGTTTTCTGTTGCAGTTGATTCTGCCTGTGTTCCTGTTGTGGTTTCTGCTGCTGTTGCTGCTGCCGTGTCTGCTGCTGCTGCTGCTGACTGCTCGTGCTGTCGTTATTGTTCTCATTGCCGCAGCAACTGAAGCGCTCGGTGCGCATGTGTGGCGAATGCGAGGCGTGCTGCCGCACCGACGACTGTGGCCACTGCGACTTTTGCCGGGACATGAAGAAGTTTGGTGGCCCCAACAAGATCCGGCAGAAGTGCCGGCTCCGGCAGTGCATCGTGCGCTCCAGGGTCCGTTCCGTTGCGGTTGGCGGTCGACCCTGAAGCTGACAGCATTTGTACCGAGTGTGTGTGTGCTGTGTGTGTGCTGCATGTGCCCTGCGTATGTGTGCCATATGTACTGTGTGGTGTACTTCATCTGTCATGTACTGTCCCATGTGTGCCGTGTACTCAAGTGTTTCTCGTGTACTCTGTGTGTCGTGTTCTCCACGTGTGTCGTGTTCTCACTGTGTGTCGTGTTCTCACTGTGTGTGTGTTGTGTTCTCACTGTGTGTGTTGTGTTCTCACTGTGTGTGTTGTGTTCTCACTGTGTGTTGTGTTCTCACTGTGTGTCGTGTTCTCACTGTGTGTGTGTCGTGTTCTCACTGTGTGTGTTGTGTTCTCACTGTGTGTTGTGTTCTCACTGTGTGTGTTGTGTTCTCACTGTGTGTGTGTCGTGTTCTCACTGTGTGTGTGTTGTGTTCTCACTGTGTGTGTTGTGTTCTCACTGTGTGTTGTGTTCTCACTGTGTGTCGTGTTCTCACTGTGTGTGTGTTGTGTTCTCACTGTGTGTGTTGTGTTCTCACTGTGTGTGTCGTGTTCTCACTGTGTGTGTGTCGTGTTCTCACTGTGTGTGTGTCGTGTACTCACTGTGTGTGTCGTGTTCTCACTGTGTGTCGTGTTCTCACTGTGTGTCGTGTTCTCACTGTGTGTGTGTTCTCACTGTGTGTGTTGTGTTCTCACTGTGTGTGTCGTGTTCTCACTGTGTGTGTGTCGTGTACTCACTGTGTGTGTCGTGTTCTCACTGTGTGTGTTGTGTTCTCACTGTGTGTGTCGTGTTCTCACTGTGTGTGTGTGTCGTGTACTCACTGTGTGTGTCGTGTTCTCACTGTGTGTGTCGTGTACTCACTGTGTGTGTCGTGTTCTCACTGTGTGTGTTGTGTACTCACTGTGTGTGTGTCGTGTTCTCACTGTGTGTAGTGTTCTCACTGTGTGTGTCGTGTTCTCACTGTGTGTGTGTGTCGTGTTCTCACTGTGTGTGTTGTGTTCTCACTGTGTGTGTGTCGTGTTCTCACTGTGTGTGTCGTGTTCTCACTGTGTGTGTTGTGTTCTCACTGTGTGTGTTGTGTACTCACTGTGTGTGTGTCGTGTTCTCACTGTGTGTTGTGTTCTCACTGTGTGTGTGTCGTGTTCTCACTGTGTGTAGTGTTCTCACTGTGTGTGTCGTGTTCTCACTGTGTGTGTGTGTCGTGTTCTCACTGTGTGTGTTGTGTTCTCACTGTGTGTGTGTCGTGTTCTCACTGTGTGTGTCGTGTTCTCACTGTGTGTGTTGTGTTCTCACTGTGTGTGTTGTGTACTCACTGTGTGTGTGTCGTGTTCTCACTGTGTGTTGTGTTCTCACTGTGTGTGTGTCGTGTTCTCACTGTGTGTGTTGTGTTCTCACTGTGTGTGTGTCGTGTTCTCACTGTGTGTTGTGTTCTCACTGTGTGTTGTGTTCTCACTGTGTGTGTGTCGTGTTCTCACTGTGTGTGTTGTGTTCTCACTGTGTGTCGTGTTCTCACTGTGTGTGTGTCGTGTTCTCACTGTGTGTGTGTCGTGTTCTCACTGTGTGTTGTGTTCTCACTGTGTGTGTGTTGTGTTCTCACTGTGTGTGTCGTGTTCTCACTGTGTGTGTTGTGTTCTCACTGTGTGTGTCGTGTTCTCACTGTGTGTGTTGTGTTCTCACTGTGTGTGTTGTGTTCTCACTGTGTGTGTCGTGTTCTCACTGTGTGTGTTGTGTTCTCACTGTGTGTGTTGTGTTCTCACTGTGGTGTGTGTCGTGTTCTCACTGTGTGTCGTGTTCTCACTGTGTGTCGTGTTCTCACTGTGTGTCGTGTTCTCACTGTGTGTGTTGTGTTCTCACTGTGTGTGTTGTGTTCTCACTGTGTGTGTTGTGTTCTCACTGTGTGTGTTGTGTTCTCACTGTGTGTGTCGTGTTCTCACTGTGTGTGTTGTGTTCTCCGTGTGTGTCGTGTTCTCACTGTGTGTGTTGTGTTCTCACTGTGTGTGTGTTGTGTTCTCACTGTGTGTGTTGTGTTCTCACTGTGTGTGTTGTGTTCTCACTGTGTGTGTGTCGTGTTCTCACTGTGTGTGTGTCGTGTTCTCACTGTGTGTGTGTCGTGTTCTCACTGTGTGTGTGTCGTGTTCTCACTGTGTGTCGTGTTCTCACTGTGTGTCGTGTTCTCACTGTGTGTTGTGTTCTCACTGTGTGTGTCGTGTTCTCACTGTGTGTGTCGTGTTCTCACTGTGTGTGTTGTGTTCTCACTGTGTGTGTTGTGTTCTCACTGTGGTGTGTGTCGTGTTCTCACTGTGTGTCGTGTTCTCACTGTGTGTCGTGTTCTCACTGTGTGTGTTGTGTTCTCACTGTGTGTCGTGTTCTCACTGTGTGTGTCGTGTTCTCACTGTGTGTGTTGTGTACTCACTGTGTGTGTTGTGTTCTCACTGTGTGTGTTGTGTTCTCACTGTGTGTGTTGTGTTCTCACTGTGTGTGTTGTGTTCTCACTGTGTGTGTTGTGTTCTCACTGTGTGTGTTGTGTTTTCACTGTGTGTCGTGTTCTCACTGTGTGTGTTGTGTTCTCACTGTGTGTGTTGTGTTCTCACTGTGTGTGTTGTGTTCTCACTGTGTGTGTTGTGTTCTCACTGTGGTGTGTGTCGTGTTCTCACTGTGTGTCGTGTTCTCACTGTGTGTCGTGTTCTCACTGTGTGTCGTGTTCTCACTGTGTGTGTCGTGTTCTCACTGTGTGTGTCGTGTTCTCACTGTGTGTGTCGTGTTCTCACTGTGTGTGTGTTGTGTTCTCACTGTGTGTGTGTTGTGTTCTCACTGTGTGTGTGTTGTGTTCTCACTGTGTGTGTGTTGTGTTCTCACTGTGTGTGTTGTGTTCTCACTGTGTGTCGTGTGCTCACTGTGTGTGTTGTGTTCTCACTGTGTGTTGTGTTCTCACTGTGTGTCGTGTTCTCACTGTGTGTTGTGTTCTCACTGTGTGTGTTGTGTTCTCACTGTGTGTCGTGTTCTCCGTGTGTGTCGTGTTCTCACTGTGTGTTGTGTTCTCACTGTGTGTCGTGTTCTCACTGTGTGTCGTGTTCTCACTGTGTGTGTGTCGTGTTCTCACTGTGTGTTGTGTTCTCACTGTGTGTCGTGTTCTCACTGTGTGTGTGTCGTGTTCTCACTGTGTGTGTGTCGTGTTCTCACTGTGTGTGTGTCGTGTTCTCACTGTGTGTTGTGTTCTCACTGTGTGTCGTGTTCTCACTGTGTGTCGTGTTCTCACTGTGTGTGTGTCGTGTTCTCGCTGTGTGTGTTGTGTTCTCACTGTGTGTGTTGTGTTCTCACTGTGTGTTGTGTGCTCACTGTGTGTGTTGTGTTCTCACTGTGTGTCGTGTTCTCTCTGTGTGTGTTGTGTTCTCACTGTGTGTGTCGTGTTCTCACTGTGTGTGTGTCGTGTTCTCACTGTGTGTGTTGTGTTCTCACTGTGTGTCGTGTCGTGTTCTCACTGTGTGTCGTGTTCTCACTGTGTGTCGTGTCGTGTTCTCACTGTGTGTGTGTCGTGTTCTCACTGTGTGTCGTGTTCTCCACGTGTGTCGTGTTCTCCCTGCGTGTTGCGGTCTCCGCTGATCGTGTACATGATGCGTCGTGTTCTCCACACGCTCCGTATCCTCCATGTGTTGTGCTCTCTGCATGTCGTGTTGTGTACTCCATTCACGGCTTGTACTTAAGATGCGTGCCCTGTATTCTCCACGTGTCGTGTACTCTATCGTGTCCCCCGCGTGTCGTGTACTCCGCCCTGTCCCCCTCGTGTAGAAGCTGCTGCGCGTGCGCGATGACCACGGCGGCTCAAGCCGTGAGGGGGCGCCACGCGGCGCCGGCCTCGGCTCCTCCGATTCGGACGCGCTGCTCTCCTACCACGACTACGCCGCCTCGCCCCGCGCCGACCAGGTCCATGCCGGGGGTGTGGGGGTGGGCACGGGGGGTGTGGGGGGAGGGGGGCTGCAGCGGGCGTGTGGGGGGGGGATGCGGTTGGAGGGGGGGCGGGGGTTTAACGCTCATCGTAGCGTCACATTCGTACCGTGCCGCACAGACTCCTCCGCTCACACTCGGAGAGAGCGAGAGAGAGGCCGATTGGTCGGCACGTTAAACACAGAGGTAAGGGGGAAGCCAGCCAGAACCAGAGCCACCAACACTTGCCTAAGCTCTGTGGTCCTATTTTGGGATGTTTGGCCAACTCCATTAATCATGAGTGTGTATGCGTAGGATATCGTTTCTCGTGGCACGGTATTTTTTTCTAAAGTATGGTACAAAAAAGTATGATTTGTTAAGTTGTGGTAGATAACACAGATTTCGTTTTCATGATACATGTGTGCTGCGCATGTTTGCGTACGTGCATGGGTGCATGTGTATGCATGCGTGTCTGTGCGTGCGTGTCTGTGCGTGCGTGTCTGTGTGTACGTGTCTGTGCGTGCGTGTCTGTGTGTACGTGTCTGTGTGTACGTGTCTGTGCGTGCGTGTCTGCGTGCGTGTCTGTGTGCGTGGAGAGCAGTGGCGCAGTGGTTAATGTGCTGCACCACGAACTTGTCCGGGCTTGGTGCTGGCCACACCCCTTCATAGGTGCTCGCTAACAGCACTTGCCCCATACAGTCTTGTTTAAGGCTATCCGGGCGATCTTTGTTTTTGTGTACACGTGCGTGTGCTTGTGTGCGTGCAGTTCCCGTGGAGCAGTGGGAAGGAGGACTCGCAGGATCACAGCTTGTTCCGTAAGCGCGCCGTGAAGCTCAAGCACGTGCAGAAGCGCGAGCGCCGCTACGAGAAGCAGGTGCTTGCCCAGAGACCCCTCGCTCGTTCAACTCTGCGTCCCTGGGAGTCCTCGTGTTTCTGGGCGGTTCTGTGTTTCCCCGTGTTTCCCTGGGTGTCCCTGCGTGTCTCCGGGTTACCCTGAGGTGTTGCTGCGTCCCCCCCGCTTGTCCCCCGCATTCCGGCGTCTCTCGACACGTCCGAACATGTCTGCGCGTGTCTCTACGTGTCCCCGCGTGCGGCCCCCCCCCCCCACGGGCCCCCACGTCTCATGGCTGCGCTGTGGCGTGGCACCGTAGAACCGCTCGGAGCGCCACCGGGACAAGGCCCGGCACAGGCTGCGCGTGCGGCACAGCGAGCGCGGCGGGCCCGAGGCACGCGAGACCCCGCGCCAGCGCCAGTGCCTGGGTCCCGGCTGCACGCAGGCCGTGAGGCCCACCTCCAAGTACTGCAGCCACGAGTGCGGCATGAAGCTCGCGGCCAAGTGAGTGATGCAATATCAGCCTCTCAGGGCCACCCAGAGCCTCCCTAACAAGGTACTCGATGCCAAGTGGGTGACCGAAACACAAAGATCCCCCATATATCCTTAACAGACTGTTGGGGCAAGTGCTGTTCGCAAGCACCTATGAAGGCCGACACGGCACACGAGGGGGTGGGTGGCCAGTGTGGAAATTTTTACACCACACCAGGTACTCATTTGAGGCTGAATCGACCTAGAGGAGGCCCAGGACCGGTTCAAATAATCGTCGCTGATGACGAGCGGAAATCTAACTCGGGTCGCCGGGTTCGTAGCGCGGCACGCTAACCACTACACTACCACTCCCTAAACACATCCACCCTTACCACCTGTACTGACCTTTACCTTCCAATCACTCCACCGGTGTCTACGGTTACCAGCCGACTCTGGCAAAAAGAGTGACACCGGCCCCCTCCTAACAGTTCTCCCTGCATCTCCCACCCTGTGTCTCCCTGCATCTCCCACCCTGTGTCTCGCTGCATCTCCCACCCTGTGTCTCCCTGCATCTCCCACCCTGTGTCTCGCTGCATCTCCCCGTCTCCCTGAGCGTCACCTCCTGTCCCATTTCCCGCCTCCACATTGCTGTCTCTGCTCACATGGTTTCAATGAATCCAATTTTCCCTCCCTCCCCCTAGCCGTATCTACGAGATCCTGCCACAGCGTATCCAGGAGTGGCAGGCGAGCCCGTGCGTGGCCGAAGAGCTGGGCAAGCGACTGCTGGAGGGCGTGCGCCGGGAGCAGCACACCGCACGCCTGCGCCTCGCCCACATGGACCGCCGCTTCCTCGAGCTGGAGGCCGTGATCGCGCAGGCCAAGCAGCAGAGCGTGTGCGAGGACGAGGAGGTGCAGCGGCGCCACGCCACCACCGCACGGCCACACCACGCCGCCACGCCGCCGCCACGCCAGGGCGTCGCGCTCCCACCACGTGGCCACGCCGTGGCACCATGCCACCGCACACTGCCACATGCTGCCATCACACTGCCATTGCACGCTGCCGGAACACCACGCCACATCTGCCACGCCACCAGAACGCCATGCCACGGCGCCACACTGCACCGCCACACAATGCCACCGCCACATCGCCACCGTGCCATACCGCCACCATGCCACTCTGCCACCATACCACACCACGTCGCTCCGGTTCCAACACTCGCTCACTGGCTCACTCACGTGCACACATGCTCGCACGCATGCTCACGCTCTGTTGGTTGCACATTCATGCTCGCTCATCACTCGCTCACACATGGCATGTGGGATGGTCTTTCCGTGCCTCCATACCTCACCTTGTCTCCGGTGTCTTTCCATGTGTCTCCTGTCTCCCCGTGCCTCCCCGTCTCATCTCATGTCCCTGTGTCTGCCCGTGTGTCCCAGGTGACAGATGGGGACAACGAGGAGGCGGATCTACAGATATTCTGCGTGTCGTGTGGCCACCCCATCAACCCCAAGACAGCGCTGAAACATATGGAGCGCTGCTACGCCAAGGTGCGCCGAAGACACGCGTGACGGCGATACTACTGTTAACTATTATTTTTCACCTATTTTTATTTTACCAGGTATGGCCCACTGAGTTATATAGCTCTTTTTCAGAAGCCACCTGGCCACAAATGATAGCTCAACGAAGCAGCTTATCACGTGGAAATATATTTGCAGCCAAAGACGGAGGGGAGATGAAGAGCGTGAGCGGAGGGATATGGAGAGAGAGGAGAGGAAAAATTGTAAAAGAGTAAGACAAACATAGAAGGAGAGAGTAAAGAATGGAGAGACATCGCGAGAGACGGCAGAGAGTGCGGAAAGGAAGGATTATAACTGTTGAGAGAAAAACCGGGATCGAACCCACGACCTCCTGAATACCAGGCGAGGTAGCTAACATCTAGCCACCATGGCGCCCCATTGCGGTGATATGTGACGACCGGCACGTGATGGCGTGACGCGTGACAATGTCACGCCGAGTCGATCTCGATGGCCATCGGCACTACGGAGCAGTGAGCAGGGGACGAGTGGCGAGGCGTGGAGACGCTCGCGTGAGCAGCCGGAGGGCGCGACCTGACTCGCGTATTTCTGTGCTCGTTTCTAACCCTTGCTCCCGACCGCCGTTGTCTTCCCCGCAGTACGAGAGCCAGACGTCGTTTGGATCCATGTACCCAACCAAGATCGAGGGGTAAGGATGAGGACGCGAAGCCGCCCTGAGCCGCGAGACCAAAGCCCCCTGCAACCGCCACCCCCTCCCCCCCTCCACCACAAAATAACTAAGCAGACAATAATTCACTTCCTTTCCATACCCACCTCTCCATATACAAATAAAAGTTTTTTTACACATCCCATCAGCCTTCTGGGAGAGCATTATCTCAGCAGCATTGGTTCAAAACGGGTAAAACTCTGGACCGGTTTTGACATTCAGTATCTCATCAGCGGAGTCGGGCTTGCTTGAACCAACGCTGGTGAGATGCCAGATATTTATTGGCAAGGACCCTCTCCGGAACACACAACACAAATATATTAGTAACAAAATAAATAAGCAGACATTTCGCCAATGAATACGAGCTTTGGGAGTTCGTACGCCATTTTATGAGTCCAGACCCTTATGTGTAGGTGCACACACATGCGCGCATGTGTGTGCGCGCATGTGTGTGCGCGCATGTGTGTGCGCGCATGTGTGTGCGCGCATGTGTGTGCGCGCATGTGTGTGCGCGCATGTGTGTGCGCGCATGTGTGTGCGCGCATGTGTGTGCGCGCATGTGTGTGCGCGCATGTGTGTGCGCGCATGTGTGTGCGCGCATGTGTGTGCGCGCATGTGCACGATTGCGCGCTTTGTGCGTATACGCACGTGAATGTGTGCGCGTGCCTCTCTTTGTGTGCGCTGGCCACCCATCGCCTCTCGTGTGCCGTGACCGGCCTTAATAGGCGCTTGCTATCAGCACTTGCCCCAACAGCCTGCTAAAGGCTATTGTGGGGGGTGGGGATCTGTGTGTGTGCGCGTGTATGCAGGGCGACGCGCCTGTTCTGCGATGTCTACAACACGCAGAGCAAGACCTACTGCAAGCGGCTCCAGGTCCTGTGCCCCGAGCACTCCCGGGACCCGAAGGTTGGTGTACCCCCTTACACCCCCTCCGACCCTCTCTACCCACAGCCAGAAACCCCAAAAGGGGGTTGGTCCTTCGTGGGGTCCCCTCCCCCTTATGCTCAGGGGCCGGTCTATAAACATGCGTGTTTGGGGGGGCGGTGGGGCGAGGAGTAACACTCAATCTGTGGTGGTGGCGGGGGGGCCGGTTGGGCGGTCCTGACATGTCGGCCTTTTCAAACATGGCCCCCCCTACATGAATGGACACGCATGCAATGCGTTCTGTCTCTAGTAACTATGAATACATACCAATTATCGGGAGCTCAAGGTGGACAGTTGTGCCCATAGCCCCTCGGCCCCCGGGTTCGCCGGCATTGGCCTGAGCGACCTTTCTGCGCACAGGCCCAAAATTCCAGAACGTCAAGCTGCCAGCAACAGGCGGCGCTCTCAAATTTGCAATAGCCCAAGGGTTAAAACGTTTCTTGAATTGAGGCCAGATCGTTGTAATAACCTGGTGGGAAAATAAACGGTGGTGATTCTGGGAGGAGGGAATTCCACAGTGGAGCGGCGCGAGGGAAGAAGCAGAAAGAGAAGTGTTGCGACCTGCAGTGTGGTGAGAGCGAGTGAGTGGCACAAGCGCCGTGGTGACGTCACCGCCACTTAGTGCCAAATGCCAGTTGTATGCCGTGTGTGGGGAGCGGTAGTGTAACGGTTAGTGCGTTGTGCTACGAATTCAGCGACCCCGAGTTCGATTCCCGCTCAAGGTCAACATCAATGACGATTATCTGAATCAGTCCTGGGCCTCCCCTAAGTTGACTCAGCCTCAAACGAGTACCTGGTGCAGTGTGTAGTAAACATCGCCTACTGGGGAGACAAAGGTGGCCGGGCGTAGTGCTGGCCACCCACCCCCTTGTGTGCCATTCCGGCCTTCATAGGTGTTGCTCGCTAACAGCAATTGGCCAAACAGTCTATTAAGACTATAAGGGGGATTTTTGTATACTGTGTACAGGTGTACGCGTGCAAGTGTAACCACGTATATAGTGTGCTTGTGTGTATGCATCAGTGCATGTGTACAGCATGTGCCTTTGTGTGTGTGCGTGTTTTGTCATGTGCGAGTGTCGATTCGCTGTAACGGCGCCGGTTGTCTTATCGGCGCAGCTCAGATGTGCCGCTCGGCCGGCCTGGCGGAGGCTGCTGGAGTTGGTGCCATGTCCCTGCTGATTTATGGGCTTTGCCTCTGTGTGTCTGAGGCGTGCGGTAGAGGGGGGTGGGCACGCAAACCGTCGCAGTAACGAAACGCCCACGTCCAGCAGCAGGTGCCACGGCCGGGCGGGATTGATGGACGCCCGTGTTTTTATTTCGTATTAAAGTGAGGGAGGAGACTGACGGTCTGCTGATATTCATGGGATCCTCACAGCGGGAGCTGGCCATTACGAAATGTTAGAGCTTTCCTTTATTGTAAGGAATGCTTCCACCATCATATCGCGCTGTTGTGTGTCTTCGGCTGCAGATGAAGCCTCGTTGCTGCTCGGTGTGTTGCCACACCCCCTCCCCCCCCATGTGTTTGTGTGTGTGTGTGTGCATAAGTCGCCCTCCATGTGTGCGTCGCTTCCCCCCCTGCCCCCCGTGTGTGTGTGCTCACGGACTGCAGGTCTCCGTGGACGAGGTATGCGGCTGCCCGCTGGTGCGTGACGTGTTCTCGCCCACCGGTGACTTCTGCCGCCTGCCCAAGCGCCGCTGCAACAAACACTACTGCTGGGAGAAGCTGCGGCGCGCCGAGGTCGACCTGGAGCGCGTGCGCGTGGTATGCAGAGACCTTGCACACGCCCCCCACGGGCCCCATCGCACAACATAGTCAACAACAACAACAACCACTGTCCGCCACCAAGTGCCGTTGATATCACCGCGGCCCTCGTGCCACACTAGGTGAACTTTGAGGCTAGGGTGGAAGGCTTTTGCTGCTGGCAAGAGGTCACAAGACATACACAGGTGCCATGGGTTGACTGAGATAACTGGCAGATGCATCACCTGTGCTCCCTACTGTGCAAATTTCCTGCATTTTAGCCACCCGACGCTCTGCTCGTTATTGTAAGCGTCGCTCCTCTGCCCTCCGCTATTGTTGGAGGGCGACTACCTCCAACTGCCCAGTAGCCTCACAGTGCACCTAGCCTGGCATTAGCCAGTAGAATACTTCACGAGCCTCCAGAGGCCAATTTTAACATTGGTACCAGTTATCGGCAAGAGCCAATAAGCTCCACAGCCTTCTGTACCACTTCAGCTCCATCTCTTCTCTAGCCCGTGCCGTCCCTATTTAGCCTCCTGTATCTGGCCAAACAGAAGCTGCTTGGGTATGCGGTGGCTGGGCATGCGGGCTATGTGAATCAGCCAACGCAGCCTCACTTCATCACAAGTGCCCTGCATCACACACACACACAATTGTCGGGCTGGGCCCTTTCTCATTAGAAGTCACACTGCACGCCAGCTGAGAAGCCGTCTCTTGCGATGCGGTTGCATTTGCCTCTAATCAGATTCACTCCTCACTGGCGACTAATCATGAACGATCGCTGTGCTGCGCGCCAGGTAACTCGGCAGCAGAGCGAGCGGCACGCAGTGGGAACGTTGTGCTTTCAAACCTTGCTTTGCTGGTTGACTCGGCCCATCTTTCCCTCCGGGGAGAATATGAGTACCAATTTATGGGGGGGGATGACCAACAGTGGTTGACTGACACTCGCCCCTGCCATGGCAATGTTTAATTTCCACCTAGGTTGCCGCCTTGTCTGGGTTTTATCATCTGTGGTCGGGTGGCATGAATTGATCTGTACCGAAATCTGGTTTCGGCATTGCTGTGCTGAACTGTGTTCCGGTAAACTGCACAGTGTCGATAGACCTGGGCTGACTGGTGTCTGATTTTGGTCTGTGCTGTGGAAGGTGTAGCCACCCTCATTTCCCTATCCCCCCCCCCCCCTTGACCGGCTGTGCGGGGCTGCGCCGAGGAGATTGAGCACCAATGCCACAACACTCACTTGGGCTTTCAGTCAGAGGGCAGCAGCATCGGCATCTCCATGCTCTCTTCTTGTCACGCAGGGTTTCGGATTTGTAACGCGCAAAGTTGTCAGTGTACGGATCTGCATCATCTTCGTGCAGGCTGCAGATTTAAACGCTGCTGCTGCTGCTGCTTTTGTAGAATTTGTAACGCGCACAGTTTTCGTTCGGAAGTGCAGGAAACTACAGGCGAGCGGGAAAGCGACCAGAGCCGGTTGTGTCAACAATTAATTGCCCAAGCTCTGTGGTCCTATATTGTTATTTTTGGCCACTCCGTTACAAGAACGAGTGTATATACCATGTGGAAGGAAACTGGAGTACTGGGATAAAACCCATACATAGGTGTTTGGGAGGCGGTGGAGGGAGGAGTAACACTCAATCTGTAGTAATTTCCAAAGCTCTGTAGCCATATATCGTGATGTGTTGGCTCGTTAATCGTCGCACGCACTGACGCGAGGTCGCGTGCCATCACACACACACACGACTAGCGCGCCTATTGAACAGCTGTTGGCGAACACAAGCGGTCGATACGAGCGGAGAAAGAAAAACACAGTCAGCGATTTGGCCAACATGCCTCACACGGGCTGGGGAGGTGGGTGGGGTCAGGGGTGGGTGGGTGGGAGGGAGTGCTGGGGTGGGTGGGAGTGCTGGGGTGGAGCTGTGAGGAAGAGCGAGCATCAAGCCTTTGGTCTCCTTTGTGAGTGCTCACCTCCTGAGTACAGCCCTGCACAGCCAGTATTGGAACGTCTACATTACTATGGCGGGGGCGAGTCTTTTGATAAGATGACCACTGTTGATTTAATCGCAAATTGGTACTTATTTTTATCGACCGCACCGAGGGAGAGATGATGGGGCGAGTCAACTCAGTAGCAGGATTTTAACTGGCAACCCTTCCGCTTGCGAACCTCTTACTCTGCCGCTGAGCCACCTGTTTGCCGGACCGCGGAGATTGAGACGGGAGTGGTGGGGGCTCGTCTGTGTGTCCCGTAGCATGTGGAGGCCGTGTGTGCCCGGCTGTGTGCGTGTGGAGTGCTGCGTGGGGAGCGGTAGTGCGACGGTTAGCGCGCTGCGCTACAAATCCGGCGACACGAGTTCAACTCCCGCTCACGGCCAACACCAGTGAGGATCATCTGAATCGGTTCTGGGCATACCCTAAGTCGACTCAGCCTAGGTCGACTCAGCCTCAAATGAATATTTGGTGAGATCTCTAAACATCGGCACTTGGGAGACAAAGGCGGCCGGGCGTGGTGCTGGCCACCCACCCCCTTGTGTGCCGTGCCGGTCTGTTAAGGGTATACGGGGATGTTTGTTATGCTGCTTGGAGGCTGTGTGATGCACATCTGTTGTGTATGGGGTGCATGTGTTGCGCGTGTTGTATGCACATAATGTGCGTGTTGCGTGTATTGTTGCGTTGTGTTGCGCACGCGTTGTGTGCATTGTTGCATGCTTGGAGGCCGTGTGACCTTGGCTCTCCCCGGCTCTTTGAGCCGAAGCTAGGGTCAACGTGTGATGAACGAGCATCCAGGGACAGTGGAGTCACACAAATCTCTCCTCTTCCCCCCCCCCCCCCTTTTGGCCCCAGGCCCAGCCACGCACGTTAATCACGTTTATTTCTCGTGCACGCAAACCCCCCCCAGCCCCCTCCTCCACCCCACAATCAATCCTTGTGCCCAATTATATAAAGATGTCATTTGCATTCCGTGAGGAGTGGGAGGAGGCAGCAGCAGAACTCAGGGGGGCCCAGCTTTGCGTCCGAGTTGGCACGTGCGCACGCCCGCGGTGGGCGAATGTCAACCACGCGTCACTGCACGAGCCCTTTAAACAAAAACATCCCCTGCCACCCAAAATGTTGAATATTTTGCATTTCTATGGGGCTCAATCTCAAGCATTCAAAGGGCACCCCCAGTGGCGGCTGAGGCGCATAGGGACTCGGCACCCGCTTGCAAGTGGGGATTAGTCTGCCAGTAGGGAGGAGACGATCGCTATCATGTGGCATCCAAATTGAGTAATTTGTGGTGTAAATTTGCCAACTTTCAGCCACAACGCCCGTGCACAATGGACGACTTATTGACATGACGTCACGGGATCTTCATCCATGGCGTAGCAGACGGCACGGAGTATTATTACGGTCAATACACACCTCAGTATTAACCAGTGCAGCCTGGTGGATTCCAACCACGAACCTTTTAAAAAAAAGGGCTCCCGCGCTCCCACTGGGCCACGATGTCACCGCCCCGATGCCGCGTTGTCTCGATCGCGCTCTCGGTGTCCTAAAACCAAGAATCCGTTGTGAAGCCTGGCAGAGCTTTTGCAACCCTCCTTCATGGAGAATGGGCCAAGGGACCTCTGGTCCACACTGTCTCTGCCTCTGTATATATCGATATGTGTCCCTGTTTCCATGTCTACGTGTGTATATGTATATGACTGCGTGTCTCCGTGCGTGTCCAGAATTGTCCATGTGACTTTCAAAGACCGCGTCTCCTTGGCTGTCTGTGTGTCTCTGTGTGTCTCTGTGTGTCTCTGTGTGTCTCTGTATGTCTCTGTGTGTCTCCGTGGTGCCTCAGTGGTACAAGTTGGACGAGCTGTTTGAGCAGGAACGGAACGTGCGCACGGCGATGGCAAACCGCGCCGGCCTGCTGGCACTCATGCTGCACCAGACGATCCAGCACGAACCGCACACCACCGACCTGCGTAACTCCACCAAGGAGACCTGAGCAGGTCCACCAAGGAGACCTGAGCAGGTCCACCAAGGAGACCTGAGCAGGTCCACCAAGGAGACCTGGTCAGGTCCACCAAGGAGGCCTGGTCAGGTCCACCAAGGAGACCTGAGGAGCTCCTTCAAGGATACACGCTCAGATCCAAGGAGACATGAGAAGAATCCTGTCTCGTTGCCTATCTCATCTCACCTCGTTCCCGTTCTCTTTCGTCTCGAGGGGAAATGCAGGTATCACGTTTGCACCGTGAATGTGCGAGTCACAAGGTCAGCTAGAACCGCACTCTTCCTAACTCACCTGTAACTCGCTCACCTGTTGGTCCCTTCTCCCAGACGGAACATTTTACTCGCCGCGTGTACAAATCGCTTTCTAAACTCGTTATTTCTGGAGGTGAAATCTCTGCGTTTCTGTTTTACTTTGTATCGAGAGGCATTGGGGCCTCAAGGGGTCTTCCAATAAAGACGTTGACACTGAATGTGTCGCATCAGGGTGTGTGTTTGGTGGTGTGCGTGTGTGGTGCTGGTGACACCAGGACCTACTGTGGACCTGGTCTGCTTGTCATCTGTAAGTTCCATCTCCCACTGTGGAAAAGACCCCATTCAAACCCACAGGAGCCTGGTCTCAGCCAGCTGATTAAGGTTACAAATAAAAGTCGTCATCCTAGGTGGGGTTGGCAACATCCCCCCCCATCCCGCCGCAGAGAGGAAATGAGAGAGGTTCAGGACCGACTCATTCAGCTGCATTTGGTAAGCAGCCCAGACCTCCCCAGATCCTGGCTAACATCGGTGGCGTTCAGCCTGCTCGTCCAGCAGTGGATTGATCAAATCCGAATGAGCACCACTCACACCTTGTGGTTCCCTTGCAGGCCGCGTCTCTGCTCGTGGCCCGAGTTCCAAATTGAGATGGAACCCAAGTAAAATAAACGATGTCTGGAACGGGCGGTCTACCCAATGCTAACATAGACGTTCGCTACGGAGATTGGAATGAAAACACATGCAATGTTTTTAAATTAACTATTTAGAAGAGTGGCATGAATATTCAACAGCAATGTTCAACGTAAAATTTTGACTTAACTTTAGTGACTGCAGGAATTCATATTATATGGTTCTTTTGGTAAAGTCACAGAAAAAATAATGAAGTGAATAAAAAATATATTACGTTTCGATAGCAACAAGCAATCGTCATCATTGCTTGTGTTGCGATCGAAACGTGATATTTATTATTTATTATATTTTTTCTATCAACGTAACTTTACCAAAAGAACCATAGAAAAATGTTCAACATTGCAGAAAATCATGAATGACTAAATCGCAATAACTAATCATGCATGAGGATACTGCTGCTACAGGGTCAACACTCAATCACAAACGTGCGTTACTTTCCAGGATCTCGCAAAAAAGAACGATTCATCATTGTTAAATCTACAAATGCACAAGGCTGCTGCTGCAGGATCAACACTCAAGCAACCGTTAATCTGCTCTCCGGAAAGTTCCCTGTGAACCTCTGCAGTATCGACACCAGCCAATGGCATTTATACAGAGATCAGGTATGTTTTCATCAGTTTATACAAATATATATTGGAGCTATGTGGGTGAGGCGCGATGTACTGAGGCACATGCACTGCTTCCCCTTTTCCCAAACTTGCGTCTTTGCTCTCAGCTCCCGTTTCATTTTCTACAGCAAATTCCCCCGTGTGTGCTATTGCATGGCAGCAAATCCTATCACCCTTCCTTGGCAAATGCACAGGGCAGCATGGCGTGATGTGTGGGACAGAGGACCACATGATGAGAGACAGACATGTGCACATCACTGCGAGGCTTGGGCAGGACGCATCGGGGTCAGAAGGGACACCGACAGCTGCTGGTCTAGACTGAACAGTGGCAGCCAAGCAATGGAAGGCGACCGAGCGGACGTCCATTGAGCAGATGGAGTGATGATCTATTGGTGTGCAGTAGCGCATGGTTGTTGAGGTGGTGGCAGCTTGGGGAGGGCCATCATCCAGTCATGGTTTTGCCATGGCTGATGATGAATCATGTTTACCGGTGATGGGTGGCAACACTTGTCTCACGGTAAGGCGTACCTGGGTTCCATTCTTGACTCGGGTACTTTTCTGCGCTGAGTTTTTATCTTCTCTCCTTGCTCTGCATGAGTTTCCTATGGGTATTCTTTGGGTCTTTCGGTAGTCACGTAGATTGGTTCAAAGAAAATGAAGAACTCCGTTTCGATCGCAACGCAAGCGGTCGTCATCAGCGGTCGACCGCTCGCGCTGCGATCGAAACGTCGTAGTTTGTTATTTTTGTTATAATCTTTGACCCATCTACGTGACTTTACCGAAAGACCCAAAGAATATGAATTCCTGCAGTCACGAAAGCTTTAAGTCAAGATTTTTTCCTATGGGTTTTGAGGTTTCCTCCCATAGCTAAATACAGTCGAACTGGTATTGGCCAAAACCACATTACATATCTGAGAAAGTGCTTGCACTCAAATTGGGATCGCACACAGCAGTGACAAGCTTGGTTGGGTCAGTGAACATGCCCACTCGTGCACCAGCAGCGCACAGTGAACGACGCACGCTCCCGCGACAGTGGCGGCACTGCTGCTCGGGAAGTCACAAGCTCGGAGGGCGCGGCGCCTATGCATCGTGTCAAGGGAGTCCCGGTGTTCTGTATCTGGGTCTTAAACCAGCCACACGTTGAACTCTTGAGTTAGTGGTCTGGACAAGGCAGAGGGCATTTTACCCGACATGTGGTTGTCTTGTGCCAGGAATGCAAGGCACATTGATGGGAGTTGAGCCCTCCCGCTGTTTATGAGCAGCGCACCTTTGATTGTTAAATCTACTCAAACACCTACTTACTCACTTTTGGTTCCAGGCTCCACGCAGTCTCCTGCTGTATGGGTTGTGGCTCATCATTTGCAGAGGAAGCTGGGTTTAAAATAAGTGGGAGTGTTTTGCGAGTCATTAAGGAGAGTGGGGGAAACGTTCGGTTTTAAGAGTGTGACCTAGGGATAGACCCAAGGCCTGATGGAGGTGGGAAGATGGGGTCGCCATGACTGCTGTGCACCAAAAGCATTGGCAGGGAGGTGCAGTGGTGGCATAATGACCTTGACCGCGAGGACATCTTGATTTCCCCCCTATGCCACAGGGCCCTGCAGGGCCACCCTTTCGCGCCCGTGTGCGGTTCACGCCGGAGGCGACTGCGCTTGGGAAATCACTTTAATTTGCAAACTCGGCGAACTTTTATTACCTTGAAACTTACACAAGATAAACTAATTAGGATTACATGTATGCGTCTAAACCGATTACACGGAAAACACACCACCAGGAGGCCTACAGCAGGAAGGACACCCTTGCCTTGCGAGCTACTCAACGGTTACAAAATAACTTTATAAAAATATTTTCATACATGTATTAGAAACACGGCTCTCGTGCCACGATAGGAATGTCACCTATGTCGGCCACCAACCAATGTGAGCGCACGAAGCATCGGGGGCCCCCCACGTTGGCCACCCGCCCGCTTGCCCCGTGCGGAGGCAGTTGTTCGAGTAGATTTACTAAGAAGCAGTGGCCTTTACCATCAGATTTAGTCAAGCCACAAGTTTATTGTACAAGTCAGCCACGCGGGCCCCAGATGTACGATGAGGGGACACCCTGCAGATGAGGGGGTTTGGGGGGGGGGGAGCGAGAACACCAGCTGTCAAGAACAGCCACTGAAAGCATAACCCGTGCTGCGACACGACCACCTGGCTCGCGGCACACTGTAGTGTTAACGAGCGTGGTGTCTCGCTGGATGAATGGCTTCCACTCGGACCCTGTGTCTGCGGTGCTGTCATTGGGGATTGCATGATCACGGTGGGGATGAACACGAGGCAGAGGGTGGTTGGTGGGGGAGCAGGTACAGCCCTGATGCCGGGAGATGGGGGCAACCCTCGCACCCCTCCCAGGTTCTCCCACAGCAAACACTCCACAGGGACGGCTTCACCTCATCCACACCGTAGGTCACTCGCCCAGCCACCCACTCGCCCAGCCAACCCACCGACCCATTCACCCAGCCACCCAACTACTCCTGCAGGTCACAACACTTCTCTTTCTGCTTTTCCTCGCACTGCTCCAATTTGGAATTCCCTCCCCACTGTCTCTTATCCCAAGCTCTAATATCGGTAACATTGCTCAAATCAAGAAACACGTCGATTCTTATTGGAGCGATGTTTGTTGCTGCTGCTAGCCGTTTGGGTCTGTGCTCAGCAAGTGTAAAAAAAAATAGAAGGGCGGGGGAGTACAGAACCCACACGCGGATCTCGATGTGATTCCGCGGAGGGGAGGGGGGACTCAGAGCCCCCCCCCACCTGCCCATGTCGGACTAAGGTGCAAGGGGTCGTTACAAACCCGCCAGCGGCAGAAGCACGGGGGAGAAGAGAAGCGGTTAGCAAGGCAGCCGTTTCGGAAAACACTTAAGAGCGGAGCCGACGGCACACGGCTGAGTGGGGCCGCCCTCTTGGCGCCACCGGTAAAATGCATGCATCGGGGCCACGCTCCGTGCCCAATACTCACCTACTCCTGGCGGCACGGGCGGTGGGTAGGGTGGGGTGGCGTGGGGGGCCGTCGGCACCGCGCGGTTATATACAAGCGGCGCCGACTCTTCCTGCGTGACAGCCGCGCGTGTGCGCCGATCCCCGTCAGAAGCAGCCGGGTCCCCGCGCGCCGACATGGGGGAGCGTATCGATTCGCTGGGCAGCACGGCGTCGGGCGCCGCACACATGACCGAGAGAGCGTCGCCAAGAGACCCTAACCGTGTCCGGGACCGTTCGACAAACGCCCGTGCCCGTCGACGGCCGCACCGCGCCTGGCGCGAGACGGCGGAGGACGGGGAGGGGGGTGGCTTGGCGGCAGTGCGGGTGGCCGCGGTGGTTCACCGGGCCCCTTCCGCCACGGGCAGCCACGGCCGCGTCGGCGCGAGGCGTCGTCCTGTCCCGCACAGCGACGGAGGCCGCGGCGCCGTCGCGTGGCCGCGGCGGGGCCGGCCGCGGGCTGCATGCAAGGCCGAGCGCGCAGCCTCCTCTGCTGCTGCCGCCGTCGTCTCAGTGCAGGCCGGCGCTCGAGTGAGCGTCCTGCACCTCCCGCACCAACAGAATGCGCGCCAGCATCTGCTCCATTCCGCTGGCGCCCACGGGCTGCGCCGAGTACCAGATGGGGCTGTTGGGCGCAACCACGGGCTCCGGCGTCAGGTAGAAGATGTCGCTCTTGCCCTTGACGCTCTGGGGGCTGAGATGCAGCAGCGATGCAAAGCAGCATTGCGCAGCGTGAGTCCCACTCTCAACGCACAGAGAGTGAACCCAGAGACAGCACCCCGTGAGAGCGAGAGAGAGCGGTCAGTGCGAGCTGCTCACCACTTGAAGAGGTAGAAGTCGTAGAGTTTGATTGGGCAGCGGAGTGGGTTCTCGACGTTCTCGGGCTGCTCGGCGTACATGTCATCCGTGACTGCAAACAAAGATCCCCACCGCATAGCCTTAACACGATTGTTGGGGCCAGAGCTGTTGGCGAGCACCGTGGCTGCACACGCACGCGCACAGCCCATCACTGGAGTTGCTTATCAAAACAGATCAACAGCCAGGTAGACGTGGTGGCTATGCACATGGCCTGTAATCCAGCACTGTGGAGGCAGCGAGTGTTGGCGGATCTCACACTCGCTTTGAAAATCCCTTCCATTGGACGTCGAGAAGGAGCTGAACCCTGGCTCGCCAGGTGGATGCGGTACGGCAAAAATGTGGACGCCACCGGTTCCGTCTGTGTGCCATCGCGTTGCCTCCTCGCATGCGTGGGTTTTTTCCAGGTTCCCCAGGTACCTCCCACAAGTATGAAGTCTCATTAATTGGATGAAAACACAATACACATAGAACTGCAGAGGTTGGGCAATTGTGAAAAATGCTAGCTCGCTGCCTGCTGCCTTGCTACTCATATGTGGTTCCTCCGCACGCTTCCGAGTCAGCACTGGGGAGACAAAGGCGACCTTCATATGTGTTTGCTAGTGTCTGTTAAGGCGATATGGGGGAATGGTTGTCTGTGTCTCCGTGTGTGTGCTTGTCTCTGTGCGCGTGTTCTCAGATCATCAGGAACTGAGAACGGGGCTCCTTGTGGTCCCTCCCGGTTCCAGTGGATCTACTGTGCCACGGCGCGATGTTGGTGTCCACATGTCCAGCGTTTTCCATTGAATGTCTGGACATTGAAAGGATGGAGCTCGTGACCCTGGGCTTTTCAGATCAAGCAAAGAACGTGGACAGCTTCAAAGGGCTGGGTCAATGCTAGCCACTGGAGGGCGTTCTCCTGTTGGTGCATTAAGGTGGATCAGGACCACCTACCATGCGGGTTACCAGATATACCCAAACTTTTCCCATCGTGGAGGTTTTACGTTCTTGAAAATAGCAGTAATCTGCAAATCCGCAATTCCCGAACTCAAAGGCATATGGGAAAACTAGGGTTTGATTCATGGTGCGTAATACGATATCCCCTCTCCTTTTGCTTTATGCTACCCTAACCAAAACACGAAACGGGAAGACAGGATGGTCCAGAAGGACCCCCCCAGAATGGCTGAGGGCTCATTCCATGAGAGCAGTGGTGACATCATGGGCCTGGACATCCAATGTGCTGGTTGGAAGTCATTTGCAAGGTATCGTAGTGCAATGCCTCCTTTGGGAAAGCAGTTCTAACAATGTTTAAGGAGTGGCCTCTCTCTCTCCTCCAGGTACCAGCTTTGGTATTATTGCTAAATGTTCAGAATCACATAAGACCAGTAGGTGGTGGCATGGATTAGAGTAATACCTTTGATCAAGATACAAAACCTTATATTGCGACTAGTTCCGTTTTGGCAGCAGAGGTCTTACTCTGAATCATGAGCGAAATTTTTTCCATCGGCTGTGTAACGCTGTGTGGAAGCCACCTGGGATGTCGCTTCATATGAAGCTTCGGGTCTTCTCGGCCAGTCATGCCCTCCCTCTATGCTTGCGAAACGTAGACCCCTCTAAAAGAAAATCTGTGACAGTTCGAAACTTTCAGACTGGCCTGCCTATGACCCATCCTGGGTTTAACCAGGCTGGATTGTGCGAGCTCATATGTTCTTCAAAGATCTGAACACATTCCCATCGGCGAGCTTCTCCAGCAGGCAAGGCTGCATTGGTTGGGTCTTATAGCCAGCATGCCCAGCCACCACATGCCCAAACAGCTTCTGCTTGGCCAGAGAGGGGGCTTAATGGGTGTGGCATGGGCTACATAAGAAATTAGCTGATGTGGTATAGGACGATGTGCAGCTGAGTGGACTTGCCAATGAATGATGTCAGCTGAATAAAGATCGGCCTCTGTAAAGAAGGTTTGTGGGCAGTTAAAGGCAGGCACCCTCCAACAACAACGTAGGGCAGATGAGTGATGCTCACAACAATGAGCGGAGCGTCGGGCGGCTAGAACGCTGAAAGTTTGCACAGTAGGGAGCAGTCAAACCATCACACTTGGGTCTGACCCGTGACCTGTCAGCAAGGCTTCGACATATATGAATTACTGCAGTCACGAAAGCTTTAAATCAAAATTTAAGCCTTCGACACTTCACATAACCTCAAAGTGCATTTAGCCTGGCACAAGCAGTGTGCTGACATCACCGCCACTTAGTATTGAATGTTGGCAGTTGTTGTGTGTGCTTGTCTCTCTGCGTTTGTGTAGGCTCTCGTTTCTACAGTGGCCACCGTGTGTGTGTGCAAGGTCGCCAAGTGTGACTCTGGTCCCGGTGTGCGCATTCGGTACTTTTCTGCCCGGCCTGGATCTGCCCGTAGTTGCGCAGGTAGCGGATGCTGGCCGTGCGGTCCTTCACGCTGTTAGGGTTCTTCTTGGTCTGCTTGAGCACGCGCGAGAACGCCAACTTGGCGTGCTGCTCCACCGTCTTTAGCATGAAGTACCTGCGTGGGGTACACGCACAGAGTGACGGTCCCAAAACACATTCAACGTTCAAGCTTGGTCATGTTACGGCGGGTTGCGTAAAGATGCTAAAAACAAGGTGTCATGATGGGTGCTTGGGTGTGTGATGTATACTGGGAAGCACAATGGGCATGATGGTTGCTAGGGGATCGGGAAGGTGAAAGTTATTAGGCAGTGTGATGTGTACTATGGACTATGCGTTATGATGATTGCCAGGGACTCGGGAGTGCGATGGGCATTAGGGAGTGTGGTGGCTGCTATGGATTACACATTGCAATGGTTGGCAGAGACACTTTTCGTGCCTGGCATCTGCCGAGAAGCAGCGTCAGACTCACTTTGTGTTGAAGTACATGAGAGTGTTGAGCAGCGTGGCTGGGGAATGAGCTCCCAGCTGCTTGCATTCCCACAGCATCTCCTCCGTGATTTGGCTCGGAATGATAAACCCTGCGGTGTACACACACACCCACGATGAACACAGAGCATAACCGGCATCCGCCAAGATCACAAACATTATTTATGGGACATTTTTGCCAATATCAAAGTATGAAAAATAAGAACAGGTTGTACCCTTTCTGGCAATAAAACAGGTATTAAGATGTGCTCAACCCAAGCTCTCACTGCACTGATACTTGCATTGACTTCGTACTGCTCGCCTTTTGGCGTTCTCTGGTCTGACACTGGCGAGACTAGGCCATAAAGAAGGTTGTCTCTGGTGTAGGCCAATCAGTTTCAAAGACAATGCCCATTTATCAGAACATGGTTGTTCACATGTTTTGCCACAAGTACGTGTGGTTAATCTAGATTTGATTCCTTGCGAAAAGTATCTATTTGGTGTTAAAACCTGTTTTATTGCCAGAAAGGGTAAAACCTATTCTTATTTTTCATATCACAAACATTACTTGTAAATTATGCAAGCAGGATCACACACACACAGGAGCAACATTGCCCCCTACTGAAAAATCTCGACAGGACCCTCCTGAATAAAACATTCCGAGGCTGGATGAGGATTTCCTAGGTAAACGAGGTGTAGGTGCAGGTGTGTACGGCAAGACCGTAGCCATGGAGTCAACATTTGGAGGGGACCAAATCTTCCAGGGGATCTGGGGGTCCCTCCCCCAGAGAAAAAAAATCTAAATTTGAAAACGAATTTCCTGCCTAAAATATTAAAAAATTCACTAACACATAGGATGGACTTTTGATTTATTTTTTACGATATTATCTATTAGTGTATTGTATTACATTGCTCTGTTTTTTTACCTTTTCTTGTATAATTGTATGTAATGGCAGAGATTAGGGATTCATAAAGAACAACCATAACCACAATCATATTAACTGAAATCTATTTTATAGCAATATATTTGGGGGGGGGGCGTTTTGAGCATGTTTGAATATTGGGGGGGATGTGTCCCTCCCAATATACATTATAATTACGGCCTTGGTGTACGGAACGGCGATGGGTGGGAGAGGAGAGTCGGCGGCTGTCTTACCGAGCGGGCTCACTTTGGGCTGCCAGTCCCTGAGCACTTCGTGCAGCTGCTCTGTGAACTTCATGTAGTAGAGGTCGGTGAAGATATTGTCCACGCGGCCATTGTCGAACATGAACTGTGGGGGGAAGGATTCCACAAGATGCGGCTAACACCACCGCTCACCACGAACTAACCACCACGAACCACCACGAGCACAGCACAGGTGAGGGCCTCACACATGCGGGAAGAGAGCGCGGGGAGCATGGACAGGAGATTGCAGGGCGAGGGGATAGGGCGCAGGGCGAGGGGATAGGGTGCAGGTCGAGGGTGCAGGAAGAGGGGAGTGGGCACAGGGGGAGGGTGTGCAGGGAGAAGGTAGAGAATGGGCGCAGGTAGAGGGCGTATGAGGGGGCACAGCGAGTGGGCACGTGGAGAGGGTGCGGGGAGTGGGCACAGGGAGAGGGCCACCTTTTGGATGTTGAGGAAAAGCAGGTAGAGCGCATCGGAGGGGTAGGGCGTGCCGTCAGTGCGGCGAGATTCGCGCGCGATCAGGCAGAGGCCGTAGTTGAGCTCGGCCACCGCGGCCGACAGCAGATCCTCCTTGAACTTCAACGGCGGCCTCCCTGCATGACACGGACAGGCGGGCGTCTACGCGGGCCACAGACGCGGGGACGTCTATGCGCGAGCGTCTGCACGCGCCACGGCCACGCGAGCCACGGACGCGCGGGCGTCTACGTGGGCGTCCGCGCGCGCCACGGACGCACCGGCGCCCACGCGGGCCAAGGACATGCACGGCGTCTACGCGGGCGCATACACGTGCCACGGACGCGCGAGCACCACGGACGCGCGAGCGCCTGCACAAGCGTCTATGCGAGCATCTGCGCGCGCCACGGACGCGCGGGCGTCTGCTCCCGCCACGGATGCGCGGGCATCTGTGCCCGCCACGGACGCGTGCGCGTGCCAAGGATTCGCCAGCGCCTACGCGCGCCACGGACACGTGGTAAGGGCTGTAGACTGTGTAGGCTGCGTACTGGTGGGGGGCTTGCTGCTGGCCTCCTTGGTGATCTCGGCGTTTTTGTTCTGTGCCCACTGCCTCCAGAAGGCCATCCCCTCCTCCGGCTTCAGGGCATCGTCCAGGATCATATCCGGGGGGGCTGCCGGCTCTGGCTGTCCCAGCTCCACGGCGGGGGGCGCCGGCTGCTCCGAGGGGGCCTGGGGCTGCCGGCCGCGAGCAAACAAGGGTCAACGCCATCCCCACGCGTCACGCAAACCCGCAACCCCAATCCTCCCGTACGTGACCGGACCACCACAACACAACCAGGCACCCTCCCTTATTGCAAACACCGCATCGTTACATCCACCACTCCTACAGTGTCGAGGCACCGCCTTCACCGCACTACATGCACCGCAGCATTGACATAAACCATCATCATCTGCACCAACATTTCCTTTTACAATTCCACATATTTGGCTGAACAAGCAAATAAAATTTGGTTCTGCGGCTCTAGAGGATTTAAATATCAGTTCGACTTATGTGCGACAAAACACATTGCTCCTAGAAGCAGTGGGAAGAACTGCCCTCGACTGTCTTCACCAGAGGTAATTTAAAGGGAGATTCAAGCGTAGCTCTTATTTGAACTTCCGTGTGCAACTCTAACACGAAGGGTTGCACTCTTCAGTTTGAGTCCCGAACAGATTATTCGTCTTGTGCCGATATCGCGATCGGTTAAATATGGGAGAAAACTAGAAAAGTAAATAAATCCTAAACAAATGGCTAGTGTGTACTGACAGGTATATTTTATGTAACCAGGCGGGAATTCAAGAGACCAGGATGAGTCTAATTTGCAAGAGTAACCTGGGTCACCAAAATGACAAACAATAACATAAAAACAAAGTACGGCAAACGAAACAAATAGAAATAAAAAAACAACCAGAGCCAAAATAACCAAACAGAAATCAAAGCATAATCAACCGCGTTACGCAAGTCGAATACGTTGCACAGACAATTTAATATTAAAGAGAATATAGATGTGCGTAAGTGCTTGTTTTCGGTTTCCGAGGGAAGCACAGCAGATGGCAGCACTTGCCACTCTGCATATGACAATACAGTCATGTTTTCTACACAACAGCTCAACCGATATTCTCCATCTCCGAACTGGAATTCGGCCAAATGGAGTGCAGGAGCAAATGTAATGCGATGGACTAGCCAAAACGTATTTTGTATTGTTATTTCGCGATGATGTACATGACATTACATATTTGTGCCTTCAGCCTTACCAATGCGGTCTCTCGTTCGACGCCACTCCACACTGCGCTCGCTCGTGACGGGAGCGTCGAGTGCGTGGCCCAATGGACCGCGGCCCCCCCCCACCCACCACCCCTCACCTGCAGCTGCTGGTGGGGCTCCCAGTACTGGGTGGCCTGCGAGGTGTACATGTTCCCGCCGGCCTGCACGGCCACGGGCAGCTGGATGCTACCGTTGACGAACTGCGAGGCGAACACCGGCGTGCCGATGGCGTGAATGACCTCCTGCGTCGTTTTCGAGACGACCGACGGGTTGTCTTTGTCATCGGCACCGACCCCGGGGCCCCTGAGGCCCAGCACGGTGGCCTGGCCGGGGGTGACCTGCACGATGCTGTAAGCCTCCTGTGGCAGGCTGGTGTGGCCCTGTGCATCCCCACAGGCGCCCGCGTGTGGCGTGTAAATGGCCCACGTTTCTGTCTGCGAGGGCGAGATTGCGTTGGAGGCGTACAGCTGGCTGCTGTCCACCGTCAGTAGTTCCTGATGCACAGGGATGTAATTCTGCTGCTGTTGTTGGTTTTGCGAGGGCAGCGTCAGCACTGTCGCCACGGCGTTGTGCATGGGCTGCTGCTGCTGCTGTTGGTGGTGATGCGCGATGGTGTACGACACGCTCGCCTGCATGTCCACCTTGCGCTTCTTGACGGGCTGGGGAACGCCCGAAGAGCTGGGCCTCCGCTCGCCCACCTTGGCCACTGTCTGTTCGTGAGGCGGTGACCCGCCCTGGGGAGGGGAACCGTGGCTCTGCTGCATCTGCTGCTGCTGCTGCGCGTGCACGGCCTGGCCCTGCTGCAGCTGCTGAACTTGCTGCACCGTCAGCTGCTGCGAGAGCTGCACCTCTCGGATTTGCTGCAACTGTATCTGGTGCGCCTGCTTGGTCTGGCCCTGAGGTGACTCAGCCTGCAGGCCGCTGATCGGACACTGCATCTGCTGCTGCTGCTTCATCTGCAGCTGCATCTGCGGCGACTGGCCGCCCGGCTGCCCGTCCTGCTGCAGCGGGGAGCTGATGGGCCGGGCCAGCTCGAGCAAGGAGCCGGCCACGTCGGCGTTCTCGGAGTAGATGCAGTGCCCCGGAGCCTGGTACATCTGCGGAGACGTGAACTGCTGCAGTGCCTCGGGGCTCTTGCCGCTCAGCGAGTCCAGGAACTCCTTCATGCGGTTCTGCGGGATGGCGCGCGCCTTCAGTCGCACCAGCTCTTCATAGGAAACGGCGTTGTCAAGCGAATGATTCATTCTTTTTGAAGGACCTGAAACGAAAGGCACGGAGATGTGACTCGCGTGCGGTGCCGACGGTCCCCCGAGGTGACGAGGCACATATACTCCGTGGTCACACTCGAGGTGATCTGTGTCGACCGACGAGTCGAGTCGCGCAGCACGGGCAAGGAACTGTGGTGGGGGGAGGGCCGGGGAGCGTGCACGGCACGCAGAGAGATGGGGTAGAGGGGCCGGGGAGAGGGGACATTGGAGAGAGGGAGGCACGAGAGTGGACAGTGACAGGAGGGGAGAGCGATTGGAGATGTAAGGGAGGGGCGAGGTGAGATGAGAGGCAGGAGATGGACAGGAGAGAAGAGACAGGATAGTTTCGAGGAAGAGAGGGGCAAAAGTGGGAACCGTGACAGAAGAGTGACACGAGGGACGAGAGAGACGGGAAGGGCACACGTGAGAGTGAAGCGAGGTAAAGTGACAACAGATAGTAAAGCGGGGAGGGTAAACAGAACAGAGGGAAGATTGGAGAGGGTGTGGGTCTAAAAGGAAAATTGAGAAGGAAGAGGAGGGGAGATATAGGGGATAGCGGGAAGGGAGAAAGGGAGGCGAGTACGCAGAGTGGATAAGGTAGAGGGAAGAGGACAAGGGAGAGGGGTGGGCAAAGGGAGATGGGGGGGGCGAATGGAGCGTTGGGAGAGCGATAGGAGCTTGGAGTGTGAATGGGGGCGCAGAGGGTGAGTGGAGAGGGTGAGTGGAGAGGGTGAGTGGAGAGGGCGAGTGGAGAGAACGAGTGGAGAGAGCGAGGGGAGAGAGCGAGGGGAGAGCGCGAGGGGAACGCTGCGAGCGGCCTCCCGCCCGAGCTCCGAGCCGCCTCGACTCTCGCCCAGTTGAGTCCTCAGGCCGCATCTCGGGCCTAGTCGCCTCACCGCTGCATGCGCTCGCGGGTGAAGAGCCCCGCGACCGGGGTGCGTTCGGGCACCTACCGCGCACCTCGCTCGCGTCCCACTCAACGCGCCGCCCGCCGCCGCCGCTGCCGCTGCTGCTGTTGCTGGTGCCGGGGCCGAGTCGCCTCGACTCTCACAGCTGCCGACGCGGCGCCATCTTGTAGTCTCCTCCAGGCGAAATCTCGCGAGACGTGGCGCGAGATATCCGCGAGATCCGTGCGCGAGACTTCCCCCCCCACCCCCCCTCTGCGGCCCCGCCCCTTCGTGGCTCCGTCCCCCCCCCGTTGCGGCCCCGCCCATCTCCCATCGCCCTCCTTACGGCCCCGCCCCTTCCTCGCGGCCCCGCCCCCTCGGGGGGCGAGTGGTCACGTGGGTAGAGGAGCGTGCGTCGTGATTGTTGTCATGGGGAGCGGCAGTGCATCGGTTAGCGCACTGCGCCACGAACCCCGGCCGCTCGGGTTCGATTCCCGCTCACTGCCAACACCGGTGGCGAACATTCTAACCCGTCCTGGGCCTCCCCTAGGTCGACTCAACCTCAAATGAGCACCTGGTGCGGTGTTTAAACATCGCCACTGGGAAGACAAAGGCTGCCAGGCGTGGTGTTGCCCACCGACCCACCTCGTGCGCCGTTTCGGCCTTCATAGGTGCTCGCTAACAGCTCCAAAAGTCTGTTAAAGGCTTTACGGGTGGGGGGGGGGGGTCTTCATCTTTGTTGTAATTGTTGTCACGGGGAGCGGTGGTGCCGCGGTTAGCGCGCGCAGCGCGACGAACCCAGCAAACCCGAGTTCGATCCCCATTCACCTGCCAGCATGTGGCAGCTGAATATATCCGAGCCAGCCCTGGATCTCCGCTAGGTAGACTCAGCCTCAAATGAGTACCTGGTGCGGTGTGTAAACACTAGCACTGGGGAAGACAAATGCGGCCGGACATGGTGTTGGCAACCCACCCTCTCGTTCGCCTTTCCGGACTCCGTAGGCGCTTTAGCGAGCCCGGTAAAGGCTATAAGGGGGGATCTCTGTGGTGAATGTTTATGAGGGATGGTCAGTCACATCGAACACAGACGGTCACTGCATCGCACGCTTTCAGATGAGCTGCGGCCGTCTGGAACGCTCTTCCGATGTTAGGAAGCCACTGGAGCTATGCCACTTTTACTGGTAGTAACGAAGTTGTAAACTGAGTGTACCAGCCTGCAATAGATGAATGTGTCCGTCCGTCCGTCCCCTTTCAATACTTTACCGAAGTGAAATCTCGTGCTGTTGGGTGTAAAATCAGCAATAGACAGCACAGAGACTTGTCCTACCAGCCCACCCTGCAGGGACTTGTTTAATAATACAGACTGAAAACTCATTTATTTAGAACTGCTTTGTGTGTTCCGTCTGTTGTTCTTCCTCCGCACCTCCGATACACACACATGGCCGCGAACGCGCGTGTGTGCACAAGTAACACGTGGTGACACCACCGACACAACCAACACAACCACCACCACCAACAACAACAAAAACAACCACCAAACACAACGCCGACCTCAGAGCGAGGTGCTACTGCTAAATCGGGCACTGAGCCATCGGTGCTCATCTCCTGTACACAGACCCGCCTCGCCAGTGCAGGTGGAGAGGACAACCACTGTTGGCTCAACAATACAAAGTGGTACTTGTTTTACCCACCCCGGAAGGAAGGATGATGAGTCGAGTCACCCCCCATCCCCCAAAACCATCGCGAGTCGTTCGCTCTCACAAGCTGAGCCACCGAGCCGATCAGTAATCAGGAGTAAAGGATTGTGCATGTGTACGTGCCCTCTGGATAGACTCGGCTCCACCACAGGAACGTGGAAATCCCATCACTGGCCGAGAATGGTGAACGGGAGTTGAGCACCAATTCCTCAATGTTCTCTTGATGCCATTACGTCAATTCGAGATGTCCCTGCTTGAGTGCTCTAGGCAGGAAGAGACGGGTTCACGAAAAAACCTGACAGTTTTAATGTAGACATTTCGGGCGACTGGCCTTCAAGCAAAATCGACGCTTAGAGAGAGAGAGTTGGTGGGGGTGGTTGGTGATGGGGGTGAGCAGAGAGCGGTGGCGTAGCGGTTAGCGCGCTGCGCTACGAACCCGATACACCCGAGTTCGATTCTCGCTCACAGTCAAACTCCGGTGACGATTACTTGAAGCGGTACTGGGCCTCCCCTAGGTCGACTCAGCCTCAAATGAGTACCTGGTGCGGTGTGTAAACACTAGCACTGGGGAAGACAAAGGCGGCCGGACGTGGTATTGGCCACCTGCCCCTGCTGTGTGCCGTGCCGGCCTTCATAGGTGCTGCTCGCTAACAGCACTTGCCCCAACAATCTGTTAAGGCTACACGGGGGATCTTTGTCTCTGATGGGAGTGAGTGGGAGTTGGGTCACACGATGGGCTCACTCGTAGGCGTCTAATGTTCGTTTAACACGTAGTAGTCGTCGGCTTTCGCAACCAATATCATCGATAATAGAGTTTTTTGTTGGGTTAGATCGCGTAAATATATAAATGTTGTGTCGTTAAAACCGCCACCACCCGACACAGCCAACTAGTAAGGGTTGTGTCACGTAAACGTGGCCAATTCGTCACCAGTACAGCACACACCGTTGTGTGTTAGAGAGCCAAGCCACAACGTTTACAATCCGAGCACGACGTTTCGCCAGTAACTACAACTAGCCTGTGACAACTAACTTACGTGACAACCCTTACTAGTTGGCTCTGTCGGCTGGTGGCGGATTTTAACGACACATTTATACATTTACGCGACCTAACCCTCCGCTCCCCCTCTATTATGGCGTGCAATGTGTTGGAACAAACACGTGCGAAGGCATTGCAGGAGGTACTCCTGTGCAGGCTGCCCAACTGAAGTGGAATCGAGTTTCCTCATTTGCGTTTGAAAGCCCCATTCAGGGAGTCGAGTAGTTATAATGATGTGGTGGTGTTGGGGGTGATGTTGGTGATGGTGAGGATGTGTGGTGGTGATGATGATGCTATGTTGGTGTTGGGGGTGATGTTGGTGATGGTGAGGATGTGTGGTGGTGATGGTGGTGATGATAATGTGATGTTGGTGATGATGTGATGTTGGTGATGGTGAGGATGTGTGGTGGTGATGGTGGTGATGATGATGTTATGGTGGTGATGATGTGATGGTGAGGATGTGTGATGGTGGTGATGATGATGATGTGATGTTGGTGATGGTGAGGATGTGTGATGGTGGTGATGATGTGATGTTGGTGATGATGTGATGTTGGTGATGGTGAGGATGTGTGATGGTGGTGAGGATGATGTGATGTTGGTGATGGTGAGGATGTGTGGTGGTGATGGTGGTGATGATGATGTGATGTTGGTGATGATGTGATGTTGGTGATGGTGAGGATGTGTGGTGGTGGTGATGATGATGTGATGTTGGTGATGATGTGATGTTGGTGATGGTGAGGATATGTGGTGGTGGTGATGATGTGATGTTGGTGATGATGTGATGTTGGTGATGGTGAGGATGTGTGGTGGTGGTGGTGAGGATGATGTGATGTGGGTGATTATGATGATGGTGGGGATATGGTGGTTGTGATGTGATGGTGAGGGTGTGATGGTGAGGGTGTGATGGTGATAAGGATGATATTACGGTAGTGATGATGTTGGTGATTATGATGGTGGGGATGTGGTGATGTGACGGTGAGGTGCGGTGAGGGTGATTTGGTGATGGTGAGGATGATGTGGTGAGGATGTGATGTTGGTGATGGTGAGGATGTTGGCGATGGTGGTGATGAATATAATGGTAAGGGTGCAGTGATAGTGAGGGTGATGTGGTGATGGTGAGGACGATGTGGTGATGATGTGATGTTGGTGATTATGATAATGGTGGGGATGTGATGATGATGATGTGACGGTGAGGGTGCGGTGACAGTGAGGGTGATGTTGGTGATGATGAGGTGGTGATGATGTAATGTTGCTGATGGTGGTGATGGTGCGATGGTAAGGGTGCGGTGACAGTGAGGGTGATGTTGGTGATGATGAGGTGGTGATGATGTAATGTTGCTGATGGTGGTGATGGTGCGATGGTAAGGGTGCGGTGACAGTGAGGGTGATGTTGGTGATGATGAGGTGGTGATGACGTAATGTTGCTGATGGTGGTGATGGTGCGATGGTAAGGGTGCGGTGACAGTGAGGGTGATGTTGGCGATGATGAGGTGGTGATGATGTAATGTTGCTGATGGTGGTGATGGTGCGATGGTAAGGGTGCGGTGACAGTGAGGGTGATGTTGGTGATGATGAGGTGGTGATGATGTAATGTTGCTGATGGTGGTGATGGTGCGATGGTAAGGGTGCGGTGACAGTGAGGGTGATGTTGGTGATGATGAGGTGGTGATGATGTAATGTTGCTGATGGTGGTGATGGTGCGATGGTAAGGGTGCGGTGACAGTGAGGGTGATGTTGGTGATGATGATGATGTGGCGATGGTCAGGGTGTTGATGTGTCGATGGCGATGACCCGTGCCTAGGGGGCGCTCTCCTCACCCCTCTTCTCTCCGCCTCCTCTTCCTCTGCTCCCGGTCGCGACGACATCGAAATCAACGAAGAGAGACGGTGAGGAGGAGAGAGCGGGAAGCCGAGGAGGAGAGAGGGGAGACGACGAGGAGGAGGAGAGAGGGGAGACGAGGACGACGAGGAGGACGACGAGGAGGAGGAGGGGGGGGACCATCGTCGTGTGGCCGGACCCGACTCGGACATGGCGGGCGCTGCAGGGGAGCAAGACTTCAGCTTCGTGAGCCCCTTGATCAAATATCTCCTCTTCTTCTTCAACTTCGTCTTCTGGGTGAGTGAGGGGGAGAGAAGCGAGGGAGGCAGAGAGAGAGTTGGGGTGGGGGGGTGAGAGAATGATGTGGGGGGAAGAGGTGAGAGAGTGATGTGGGGGGAGGTGAGAGAGTGATGTGGGGGGAGGTGAGAGATGATGTGGGGGGAGGTGAGAGATGATGTGGGGGGAGGTGAGAGATGATGTGGGGGGAGGTGAGAGAGAGAGAGAGTGATGTGGGGGGAGGTGAGAGAGTGATGTGGGGGGGAGGTGAGAGATGATGTGGGGGGAGGTGAGAGAGAGAGAGAGTGATGTGGGGGGAGGTGAGAGAGTGATGTGGGGGGGAGGTGAGAGATGATGTGGGGGGAGGTGAGAGAGTGATGTGGGGGGAGGTGAGAGATGATGTGGGGGGAGGTGAGAGAATGATGTGGGGGGAGGTGAGAGAGAGAGAGAGTGATGTGGGGGGAGGTGAGAGAGTGATGTGGGGGGGAGGTGAGAGATGATGTGGGGGGAGGTGAGAGAGAGAGAGAGTGATGTGGGGGGAGGTGAGAGAGTGATGTGGGGGGGAGGTGAGAGATGATGTGGGGGGAGGTGAGAGAGTGATGTGGGGGGAGGTGAGAGATGATGTGGGGGGAGGTGAGAGAGTGATGTGGGGGGGAGGTGAGAGAGTGATGTGAGAGAGAGATGTGAGAGAGTGATGTAAGAGAGAGTGGAGTGATGTGAGAGAGAGTGATGTGAGAGATAGAGTGATGTGGGGGGGGGGTGAGAGAGTGATGTGAGAGAGAGTGATGTGGGGGGGGGTGAGAGAGTGATGTGAGAGAGAGAAATGTGAGAGAGATGTGATGTGAGAGATGTGGGGCTCGAGGCCGAGCGGTCTGCCAGGGCGTTACCCGCACCTGGCGCTGTCCGTCTCCCCTCTGTCTCCCCTCTGTCTCCCTGTCCCCTCTGTCTCCCCTCTGTCTCCTGTCTCCCCTCTGTCTCCTGTCTGTCTCCTGTCCCTCTGTCTCCCCTGTCCCTCTGTCTCCCCTGTCCCCTCTGTCTCCCCTCTGTCTCCCCTGTCCCCTGTCCCCTGTCCCTCTGTCTCCCCTGTCCCTCTGTCTCCCCTCTGTCCCTCTGTCTCCCCTGTCCCCTCTGTCTCCCCTCTGTCCCTTTGTCTCCCCTCTGTCTCCCCTCTGTGTCCGCTGTCCCTCTGTCTCCCCTGCCCCCTCTGTCTCCCCTCTGTCTCCTCTGTCTCCCCTCTGTCCCTCTGTCTCCCCTGTCCCTCTGTCTCCCCTCTGTCTCCTGTCTCCCCTCTGTCTCCTGTCTGTCTCCTGTCCCCTCTGTCTCCCCTGTGTCTCCCCTGTCTCCTCTGTCCCTCTGTCTCCCCTCTGTCTCCTGTCTGTCTCCTGTCCCCTCTGTCTCCCCTAACCCCTCTGTCTCCCCTGTCCCTCTGTCTCCCCTGTCCCTCTGTCTCCCCTGACTCCTCTGTCTCCCCTGTCCCTCTGTCTCCCCTGTCCCTCTGTCTCCCCTGTCTCCTGTCCCTCTGTCTCCCCTGTCTCCCCTGTCTCCTGTCCCTCTGTCTCCCCTGACCCCTCTGTCCCCCTGTCCCCTCTGTCCCCTCTGTCTCCCCTGTCCCTCTGTCTCCCTGTCCCCTGGTCTCTCTGACCCGAGGTTCCTCTTTCTCCAAAATCCGTTGTTGCTGCTGGTGGTGGTGATGTGTGTGGTGGAGCACCTGGCAAACGGTGGTTGTTGTTATTTTATACTTCTTTGTATGTACGGACATATATATGTGTGTGTGAATGAGCTGCCCCATATGAGCGGCTGGCTGATGTTGTTGCCGTGTCTGTTGAGACGTGTGTGGTGGTGTGTGCATGGTGGTGTGTGCGTGGTGGTGTGTGTGGTGTGTGTGTGGTGTGTGTGGTGGTGTATGGTGGTGTGTGGTGGTGTGTGTGTGTGGTGTGTGTGCGTGGTGGTGTGTGTGTGGTGTGTGTGCGTGGTGGTGTGTGCGTGGTGTGTGTGCGTGGTGTGTGGTGGTGTGTGTGGTGTGTGTGGTGTGTGTGTGGTGGGTGTGCGGTGTGTGTGTGGTGTGTGGTGGTGTGTGGTGGTGTGTGTGTGTGGTGTGTGTGTGGTGTGTGTGTGTGTGGTGGGTGTGTGGTGGGTGTGTGTGTGGTGTGTGTGCGTGGTGTGTGTGCGTGGTGGTGTGTGTGTGGTGTGTGTGGTGTGTGTGCGTGGTGGTGTGTGTGTGGTGGGTGTGGTATGTGTGTGTGGTGGTGTGTGTGTGGTGTGTGTGTGGTGTGTGTGCGTGGTGGTGTGTGTGTGGTGGGTGTGTGGTGTGTGTGTGGTGTGTGTGTGGTGGGTGTGTGGTGTGTGTGTGGTGGTGTGTGTGTGGTGTGTGTGTGGTGTGTGTGTGTGGTGTGTGTGTGGTGTGTGTGTGGTGGGTGTGTGGTGTGTGTGTGGTGTGTGTGTGGTGGGTGTGTGGTGTGTGTGTGGTGGTGTGTGTGTGGTGTGGTGTGTGTGTGGTGTGTGTGTGCGTGGTGGTGTGTGCGCGGTGGGGCGATCCAGAGCTTTGAGGCCAGGTAGAGGGCCGGCAGGGTGGCGTTGGTGTGCAGGATGATGATGATGCCCTGTGTGAGATCATTGCAGCCGTCCTGTACACACCACCTATGTACAGGATATTGTGTATATTGTGTACGTTGCACTTCGTGCACACCGCACGTAGCCAAGCCCCCCCCCCCCGCTAATTATATATCGGAGGTGCGGGGGAAGGACAACAAACTAAACATAAAAATCAGTTTTAAAGCGGTGAGTTTTCAATTTATAGATTTAAAAGCGCATAGCCCCAGTAGATGCCTCACAGCAAGGAGGAGTAGCCTGGAAGTTGTTGCCAAGTCAGGCGCCTCTCTGGATAGGTGTATGCATCTTCTCCCCCTGTCCTGCATGAGTTTCCTCCAGGTTCTACGATTTTGCTCCCACAACGGGTTTGCCGTAGTATTGAAAGGATGCCATGGCGGTCCCCGGTTTCAAGGAGGGGGACTCCACCGATTGCGTCTGCCTCCCCTCCACGCCGGGAAAGGTCTCGGCAAGGATTATTCAACATCACCTTGCCAGGCGAATTCCAAATATGATTTCAAGCTGGTCTTGTAAAGAGATTAAATGATAAAAAATAGGTTTCTATTTGGTGTTTGAACATCTTAACACCTGTTGTATTGCCAGAAAGGGTAAAACCTATTCTTATTTTTATACTTTGATATTGGAAAAAAGGTCCCATTTTGTAGCTGGTCACCACCAAATTGTAACTGTTGTGGCTTGGCTCTCCAACACACCGGTGTGCTGTACTTGCGACGAATTGGTATGTTCTGTTTACGTGACAACCCTTACTAGTTGGCTGTGTCGGGGCGGTGGCGGGTTTTAACAACACAATTATATATTTACACGATCTAACCCAAAAAAAAAACTCATAATAAAGGTTTTTGGGTTAGATCGCGTTTATTTATAAATGTGTCGTAACCCTCCACCACCCGACACGGCCAATCAGCAAAGAAAAGTGTCACGTTGACAAAAGACAAATAATTCACTACTTCAGCCCACCGGTGTGTTGAAGAGTTAATCCACATTTACAGTTTGAGTACGACGTTTCGCTGGTAAATACTTCCAGCATCATCGGGCAATTCGCCAGAATGGTAAAGCCCTCGCTTGCTCCCGGTTTTATATAGAGCAGAAGAGTGACGTCATCACTTAACTCATCAGGTGCAGTGATTAGAGGCGGAGGGGGGGGGGTAATGTAATTATATAATCGATTAGTAATCAGTCATTGGTTATGATTAGTAATGAGTTGTAGATTAGTAATTCTTTAAATCAAAATGTAATGTGTATTATTTAATAATACGCTTCCAGGCCGCACTGAGCCGGTAGCTGTCAGAGCGATTAAAGAGAATAACAAAGTTCCAAAAGTAAATATTAGCTCTAACGAGGCAAAAGCCTTAAGAGAGCTGCGTGTAAATAAGGATATCCAAATCCTAGCAGCTGATAAAGGCCGCACTACTGTACTGATGTCACGAGCCGATTATGATAATAAAATTAGAAATTTACTAGAGGAAAGTACCTACATTAAAATTAAACGAGATCCAACTAATACTTTAGAACGTAAGACCACTGCAATAATTGCAAATTCATTAATCCCTAAAAATGAGCAATACCTAATTAAGCCAAGGGCCTCAAAACCACCTAGACTTTATGGGCTACCAAAGATTCATAAAATCGGCATCCCATTACGACCCATAGTCAGCACAATTGGCTCTGCCACATATCAATTAGCAAAATATATAACCAAACAAATACAGCCCTACATCGGTAAGACATCTTCATTCATAAAAAATTCAGAACATCTTGTGAATGTGATTAAAGATATTAAACTTACTCCTGATGATATTCTGGTAAGCTTTGATGTGATTTCTCTATTCACTAAGGTTCCAGTGGACGAATCGCTTAAATTACTTGATACACTAGTAAAGAATACCAGTTTACAAAAAGATATTCCGAAACTTGCTGGCCATTGCTTAAATAACACTTACTTCTTATGGAGAGGGGATTTCTTTAAACAAAAGGAAGGAGCAGCAATGGGTTCTCCTTTATCCCCTGCTATAGCAAATTTGTACATGGAAAACTTTGAAATAAGAGCACTTGCCTCGAGCACATTAAAACCATCCTTTTGGTTTAGGTATGTGGATGACACTTTGGTTGTCTGGCCACATGGTAAAGATACACTTAATGATTTTCTAAATCATCTCAATGCACAAAACCCGGCCATCCAGTTCACCATGGAAATGGAGGTGAATAATACACTCCCATTCCTAGATATTTTGCTTGGACATGGCCTAAACGGTAAAATAACACACAGCGTTTACAGAAAGCAAACGCACACTGATGCCTATCTGAATGCAGAATCACATCATCATCCAGCTCAAAAATCCTCTCTTATTAAGACGCTCGTGCATCGGGCGAAAACAGTGTCAGATGGTGAGAGTCTAGTGAGAGAGATTAAACAC